AATGAAAGGTGCCAGATTTCGTAGAGGTAACAAACACTGATAAACTTGCTGGATTAGAGCACTCCAAAACCAGAAGAAGGCACCCCTGACATAGAGGATGGAAATATAGTATATATATTGTATATAACAACAATATTGTAGCTAATTAAAATATGAACATGCAATACTATTATCATGGGAAAGCAAGTCTGAGAGCCTTCTTCTTTCTGTAAAAAAAAACAACAACAGCATGAGCTGTTTGCTACTTACAATGTGATTTTCCCAGAAACTGTATCGCGGATTGCTCAGTAAAAGCTCCTTTGTCACGGGCGAGCAGTACAGTCGGACTGTTAGACTGAATCAAACAAACACAAATTCCCTTAAAACACCAGTTTAACAGACCACTAATTAATAAACGCAGACTATTAAATCCGTTTTTTTTATTTTAAATAACTCCCTCTGTTTTCCACAACAACACCTTACTAAACACATGCCTGACAAATTCTAAAAACCGAGGATTGAAAAAATAAAATGAAACACCAGAAGTACTCTTTAGATTTTACACATATAGTATGTGGACGTTAATAATCGTAATTCGTGGTAGCAACGACATTGAAAAGTAATGTTGTAATTAAAATCATACTATTTTCAATAAAAGTCAGCTTCTGACCCTACCTGCATTTTAACCTTCTTTTTAGTGCTGGCCCCTTCAGTCCTTTCATATGGTCTGAAAAAAAAAACGAGAAATTATTACTAATCCCTCATATATTTACTGCACAAATATGTAAACAGAAATCATGTCATGTATAGACACAGAACCTACCTTTATGACAGTGAGACAAAAAATATGCTCTTGCATTTAAATTATCTTTGTCAAAACGGTCTAATGATATGGTAGGATATTCTTTCATACGACCTTCAAACGAGCTCATAATTCAAATTACTCGGAAAATATACACAATACAGACTACAACTACTGTTTGAAACATAACAAACACCAATTTCCCTCTTCAACCGAGGAAATTAAAATTAACGTAGAGTTCAAATGTAACTAATACCCTCTAGTGTCTGGAGGTATGTAGTTCTTTTTGTCGTTGGAAGACTTGACGTGTTTTTGCAGGAGAAAGTCATGATAAAATTCCCTTAACACGTCCTTTTTGAAAGTAGTATGTTTTTTTAAATATTTAATGATTATAATCATAAATAACATGATGATCAGACATCCATGAAAAATATAAATTGCAAGGCTTAGAATGTTTCTTAAACTCCGTATGTATTTTCTTTTGACCATCAAGTGACGAAAGCTGGTAAAGGTTATTCAACTCTGGGTAAACACTTAGTAAACCAGCCAATATGACGGTTTGTTTTATTTTAGCGTCAATAGTTGCCAGGATACCAGTGAGCAACTGCAATTGTGTCAGGACTCTTTCTGGAGTAAGTCGCATCGTTTAAAATATAGCGGGGCTTTTTATGTAAAAATGGTAGTAGATTGAATTTTTCAAAAGTCTCGCTTTGATTTTCTGTGAATACGCCGTTTATGAAATTTCAGATAAAATATGTCACATTAATAATTCGTTCTAATACACTTTTATAATAGGAAGAATAAAGCAGGACATTTTCAGATCTGTTCTGGTGAAAGGTAACGGCTGTTTTAATCCAACAGTGACGAAAAATTATACTTTACTAGTAATGTGGACAAATAATTTGCTCTTGATAATATCCAATGTGTGTTTTCTACTTTAGCTTTTTGTTGCTTGTGATAATTTCGCTTTAATAAGTTTTCAAGACCACTGCCTTAGTGATGATTTTAATAGTGTTTATAAGAATATACATCTTGATCTGACTTGATATATGTTTTACAAATATTCTTTTGTTATTGCCGTCAGAACCAGTAAGCAAAATGTCCTGTGCAGCCGAAATGGGAGCCATCTCAAAACCAAAATCTATGAGCCGTGCCAAGCAGTGGACTGATGAGGTGGAAAATCTGTACAGATTTCAGCAGGCTGGATACAGAGACGAATTTGAATACAAACAAGTCAAGCAAGTTGATTTGGTAAAGAAATTCATTCTTTTGAAACAAGCCTATAATTCTAGGATAGGAGTCAAGAATGTCTTATTGGTTATTCAGTTAGGTTTGACTTCACATTTTACTAGAACTTACAGTAACTCTATCAGATTCTTTACTAAAATGTGAATAAAGGATCAGAATGAGGAATTGTATTCTTAGTTCTTGCCATTTTCAAAATCATAATGCATTTGTTAAAATAGTCAAGTTAACTTTTACCATAATGCCAAATTAACACTGGTTTCCTTTTAAGTCGGAGTGTGTTCATACTTTGGTGAATTATTTGTAAAAAAAATGAAAGCAAGAATGTGAAAATTGTTACTGTGAGAGTTTGCATACGTTTTTTAATTTGTTACGTTTGCAAAGTCAAAATAGCAGAACATTGTGTGATTTTGCTATGGTAAAAGCAGATAATGAAAAACAAATTTAATTTCACTTAGTTCAAACACAAAGCAGTAGACAAACCCAGAATTTGCAATGTACTATATTATCTGCAGGACTGGAATTCAGGCAAGTACACCCATCCCTTGATTTATGAACACCCAGTTTATGAATTGGCGCAGTAACTGAGCATGCATTTTCATATCTGATTTTGCAGTTGTGAAGAGATTTGTATTAAAACGAAGGCAGGTCCTTTGTAGCCAAACAGAAGATGCCATCCTCATAGCATAAGAACACTACTGTAGTTCCTCAGTGTTGTCTAGTTAGCTTTTAACTATTGTACTGCTGGCAATTAACTATCATAAACAGGCAATAATGTTCTCACTATATTATGTTAGAAAAATCTTTTCAATTCCTTGAAAATCACCTAACATTATTTATGTTTACCCTAACAATCATTCTGGGCTCTGTTAGGGTAAACATTAATAATGTCAGATGTCGAAGAAATTTGATTTTCATTTACAAATGTCCAATTTTTTAACAGGTCTCAAGGAACAAATTATGTTAAAAACTCAAGGAATGGCTATTCAACTATGAATGGCATTCTTATTTAATCTCCGACTAGAATTTTGAGACCACACTCACTTTAAATTTCCCCTGATGTAAAAGTAAGGGAAGGCCAGTAAGTAATGAGGTCTTTAATGAATATCAGATTGTTGCTGTAAGTTGTACTGGTGGATCAGTAAGTGGCACTGTTCCCTTTGGGCCAAAATTTCCAAACTGATTCATAGTATGGTTTTCACAGGATAGTGTGCTATAGTATACCCTAATCTGTTCTTCAGGGGAGATGTTAAGATATTGTTCTGACTGCTTGGTCACTAAAGATTTCAAGGCACTGTATGTAATAGTTGGGGTGTTATGTTTCTGTGTCCTGGTTAAATTTTACTCTAGTCTTCCTCCTGTCTTCCCTTTTTAATTCAAATGTATTTTATAAAGAATCTTTGCCATAACGAGTAAAATAGTGTGACGCAAAATCTTTATTTAACCTATGCATGTACATACATAATGAAAGCAACAGAAGAGTAATTTAGGAAAGAGACCTAAGAATGTTGCTTTCTTCCTGAGAATTTTCTCATCTGATAAACTGAGTGCATACTGTATGGTCTCTTTGAAAATTTCTGCACATATTGTGCTTCTTTTTCAGGACACCATTGTCCTTTTTTAGTCACAGGAGAAAAGCAAGCTGGAGGACTTGCTCTGTTATTTGCCCCTAAAAGAATTGTATAATAGATGTATAATGCAATGACTGTTGTGCTGCTAGTACTATATAATGATTTTTTTTACGAATTAAATTCCTCACTTGTTGCATTTGAGATATGTTGATATTTCCTTTCATCTTATCTTTGATTTTGTTATAATTCCTGCTGCTACAGAGTTTTAAAATGTCTTCTGAGAGCAGAACAATATGAAGCAACTCAAGGAAGGACATTATCGTTTCAAAATCCTTCATTCTGTGGGCATCAGACTATTGAGCAATGCAAATTTGCTTGTACTGCGTGACTTGTCAAACTCTGTTTAGAAAAAAAACTGAATTTGTATTTTTTTTCCTCTGGGATAGTTTTATCAGGACAAATCAATGTACTTTACCTTGAGAGATGTGCCAGTCACCCATGTCGTGGGCTTGTGGAATTACACAGGGAGAAGGTAGAGTGCTCTTGAAAGAGACCCCATGGTTTACAGTTTTGAAGAATGCTCATACAGTAAACGCATTATTTGTGGGTAGAGCTACTTTTGAAGGTCTTACTAAATATCTCTGATCTGGAGACTTCATTATTTATATGTTGCCTCTCGGTCAAATTGTTTGCCATCCGACGTGATGAAAGTCTGATTGACTGGGAGACCAATAACAAACATACTGTATAGGTCCTGTGGTCAAATGTGGTCTCTTTTAGGATGAAACCCAACTTTTGTTCTTTGATCTTCCTAGATCGATCGATGGCCTGAAACTGGGTTTGTGAAGAAACTGCAGCGACGAGATAACACTTTCTACTACTACAACAGAAAGCGAGAGTGTGAAGACAAAGAAGTGCATAAAGTTAAAGTATATGCTTACTAACTATTGTCATTTGAGCAATCGTGGTGTTCATTATTGAATTACATTTTTTAAAGATATGGACAGTTTTGGAAGCAACTGCATGAATATGAAAATTAAATCCAATTATATGAAATCCTACATTCTTACAAACTAGATATACTGTACTAAAACCAAACAAGAAATTTGTTGAAATACGTAGAGTGTTAAATTCAATAATAAATAATAATAAAACATAAAACTAAACTTTTATCATTTAACATGTTTAATATATTCATATAGGGCAAAAGTGTTGAAGCTTCCTGAAAAAAAGTGCTGACACTGAATGTTATACAGAAATCAGTAAATGTATTGTCTTGAAAAATGTAGCTTTATTATTTATAAGGTTACATTAATAAAAATAGTTTAAACACAATACTGTTGGAATACAAATATAATATATGCTGCTGCAGTGCTGTGGATTTCTTTCTATTGTAAATGGTGTTTTAAAACACCACTTGTACTTTTACCTTGTAATTCTCATTCATACAGGAAAAGAGGCAAATGCAAAATGTTGAAGTCACTGGACCTCCAGAAAGAATATACTGTCTCTTTGTCTTTGCTCCTATAAACAGTCATCGCATTCATAACACTGACGTACAGTAGCCGTGAATTCCATATATAGCTATGTTACATGCAATTAGTTTTCGTAGATCATCAAGATAAGGTGTAACATTTGAAATACATCAGAATTTAGTCTGAAGTTAGGCATGTACTGTATGAATTTTGTCAGCATATTACTCAGCTACAGGTCTGAGAGGAAGTTTAAAGGGACTGGCTGGTGCTTTAAAAAGCAACATTTGCATGTTCAGAACAGACAACAGTTCTTTCCTTACAGTTTACTCATTTCTGTAAAAATAAAAATGTCAGTGAACTACCAATAAGAAATGATAGCTTTCTATACTACATACTTATGCTGAATGTCCATTATATGTATTTAAGAAACTGTAAATTACATTATTGTAAAAGGTGGATTCTAAACGTCTCTAATTTTCAACATATTACACATTTGTGCACTTAGGTAGGTTAATTGTACAGTACATCGATTTGTGGTTCCCTTAGTTGTCAGTTCTCCATGGAAATCATTTACCTTTTAATTCAGTATACACATTGTGTTTGAAGGTACCGAGTTTTTGAAGAGCTAAACTGAGGGCAACCTGTTTATGGTCCATGTGCAGTCTCTCAGTTTTACATAAAATATAATAAAGTCTAAATTAAATAAGGAACAATAATAAATGTACTGTACAAATAACTTATACTGTTACAATTGAATCAATTTCTTTTACATCAAATCAGTGAGCACTATTGAATGGTGAATATGCAATCAAATATCAAAGCCTTTTTATAACCTTCTTCTGTTCGTTAACATCTTTTTTAACATAATGTGTAGAAATACGCTTGGAAAAGTATTTTCTTATTTTTGAACAGGTGTATCATTAAAGTATTTTTTATTAAACCAAATGGAAGTAGAAAACATTTTTTTTAACCAACGAAAAAACAACCTAAATTCAATTTCCGAAAAACAAAAAAAAAAATCAAGAAACCCCGGTTCCCCAAAAATAGCAAAAAAAAAAAAAAAGCCACACACACCACACCAAAAAGACACAAAAAATAATATCTCCGTATATGGGTGTACAAGAATATTAGGCCATTCTATAGGTATACGTTTCTTCAGTCTGAAGAAATTAGCTCCCTTTTCTCACTTTGCAATTCATATTCCTATTAAGTTTTTTTGTCGCCAAGAATAAATTCTCTAAAGTGCTCATCTCGCCTTTAAGAGCACTTACCTTTAATCTCCCCGCTGACCCGATTCAGTGTTAAGTTGAGTGGTTGCGGCAGCTGGAGCAAAGAAACAATAAGATTTTTTTTTTCCTTTCCGGCAGGTGAGTTACTTGTTACCAACATACCCTGTGTTTTTAAATTGTGTTTTTTTTCCTTTTAATAAAGAGTACACGACATAAACTGTGCATGTGATCTTCGCAGAGTTTCTTCGACGAGGCTGTTTTATTATGGTTACATTTCTCACACGTTACTGTTAAATGTCACTGACAAAAACAAAACATAAACTAAGTCTATTTTCCTACGTTTTTATTGTCTTTGAAGTCATGTTTCATTTTGAAAGGCATTAACGAGTTCTATTTTATTGATTATCTCGGCCTAAGTAGTTTTAAATTGTTTAAATGAAATGGAGTTTGTGGAGTACTTGTGAAATGATTATTTTTTAATCAAGCCTCGTTTTTTACTCAGCGTCTGTCAATGAGTTTCATGTGTCCTACTCTATTTTTTTTAAAGTACTGAGTCATGATATTTTTGCATGGCTGTGTTGTTGAGGTACATGTGTACGGACTGCACGGTAGATTCTTGTCAGTAGCCTATATTTATAAACTACTGTTGTATAAAAATGTATTTTATATTTCTAAAGTAGAGTTTGTGATTTTTTTTAATGACTAAAGATATACAGAAGCTAATGGACGTGCAAAAACAGCGATCCATAAGACACATTGTTACAGTTCTGACTAGCGTCTCATTTGTGTATCATGAGTTTTAAGTGGCTGAATTGCTGGGTAGTTGAGTAATGCTCATTACTTCCAGATTTCAAACAAGGCCTTCAAATTGAAGAGATGTACCCGACAGAAAAAAAAAAACAAGGTAAAATCATTTCGTGTTTTATCATTAATTACCGTTATGATTTATTTGTAATTTCATCTGTTGTGCCTACGACTGGCGATGAATGTAAGGGACTAAGAAAACCGATTAGCATTATAAATATCTAACCAGGACAGCGTGCACTGGTGTTACCATTTATCCTCTTGTAGCCAGGACAACATAATCCTAATTGTTAAGGGGGCATGATTACAACGTAGTCCACACTGAAACAAGTTATTATATCAATGCCAAGGGTGCAGTAGTTAAAACTGAATACTTCCTTCATGTACAGTCGTGGTACACTGTTTCTGCACTCTGCAAATTGGCAATTGAAAAGGCTTCAACAAAAACAGATTGAATTCATGAATACTGTTAGAGATGTAGACCTCAAAAATGATTAATTAACGTAAATGCAAGGTTTTTTTAATCAACCATTGCATAAATTAACTATGTTCCAGTAAAAGAAAATTAAGGCCACATTTTCTTTTTCTTGGCACTTCCATATGCCTCACCTTTCTGGGTGAATTTGTTATTGATCGTAGCATTTTTTAATGAACACAGAGGTGTTTTTGTTCACAATACATCCTTCGGTTTCATTAAGACTTACGGGTGGTGCTTCATTTCTTTATATTTGGTGGAAGCATCCTGATCGGATCAAGCCCAGGGATTGGGAAAGCTAGATTGTTTTTTGTTGCTTTTTCTCAGATCTTTATTTTTATATGCAATTGTCTGCATTTACTAGCTGATCATTAGTAAAAGCATGCATTTTCCTTTTGCTTTGCACTTTAAAGCAATCGTTATGGACCCACATCTCTGATTGAAATAAGGAATTCAGCCTCATCCAAATACAGTATATTATGGGACGGACAACATACAGTAAAAAGCTCTATTTTGATTTAATCAGATCATAGAATTTATTGTGCAGCTTGTGGTTTACTATAGCTGTTAAGACTGCTTGCTTGAAGGCATTATCTTTTATTGGTGGTTTTTAACAAAGTCTTCAACCACAGAATTGTTCATTAAGTAATGTGTCACTTAGGTTTAATACACTCATTCCAGAATCTTTTTCCTTTGAATCCTTACATTTTCTTTGTGGGTTTCTTTTGAATCGATGAAGGGGTTGTTCTTTGTTGGTCTTCCACTTTTTTGCACTGTACTCTGTATCTTTTAACATTTTCAACAGGGAAGTTTGAAATATCGATGTGTTATAACGCTGCTTTGTATCTATCTATTCATTGTTTATAGTGGCTTTGTTTTATAGAGGGTTATGGCCAGTCTTACACGTAAGCATGGGCATCTAGTCCCAACCAGTGACAGGATGCCACTTCATTACGGGGCACACACATAAACAAAGGCAAACTAGAGACACAAATTAATCTAACCAGCATGGTTTTGGAATGTGGGTGGTAGAAATCCCATGTGAACAGTACAAACTCCACCCAGAACGGATCTCGGCCCAGAATCAAAGCCAGCAGTGTGGATGGCCACACCAATATGCCAATCGTGTACGTTTTTATTTGTGTAACATTTCCACCCTTATTTGTGTTCTCGTTCTTTTGTATATAGTCGTCTGCATTGAGTGCTAACAGCAAATATTCAGTGATTATACTGTATGTATTCCAGCTCTGATTTAACGTGTATGGTAACTTCTGTAATTAGTTACTATTCCTGAGCAGTTAGATGGTTAAGTTTTAAAAATAGTCTTACATAATTGCATTTGTTCCCCTCTTAATATTATATTTAAATAAAACATAGAGTTTTATTGCACAGTTTTACGTACCAGTCTTTATTTAAGAATAAAACCATTTTAATTTTACCATTTGCTTTTCAGAGAGTGTGCACAGTAAGCAGGTGTTCACTAATGCTAAAATATCTTGCTGTACAGGCAGACAGCTGCCAGCTTGTTAGTCAAGATATGCTTGTGTCTTGGTATGCAGAAGTTTAATCTGTATTATCATCCATTTGATATAATCTTTGTAGTTGAAGCAAAACAAAAATCAAAATAGAAAGCAGTTTGTATGTATTGTTTTAAAATTGTCCCAAAACAGTGTCAGCAGTTGTAAGAAAATAGGTTTCTTTGTTTTCAAAAAAATGTGCCTTTTTCTTTAAATAAAATTTGGTTGGCTAACCCATGTCTTGTTTTGCATATTTGAAGTTTTTAGCTACTATCACAAGGTTTAGTTGTGATGTAGCTTCTGGCCTAATGTCTTTAATGTAGTACTTGTTCTGTTTTGTGCAGTGTGCTTTTTTTTTTTTGCTGAAACAACACAGTGGAACATTTTTTTTTTCCAGTCCTTGTAAGAAGGAAGCCATATGCAGCTCATGTGACCCCAGAATGCAGGTGTTTTGCATTTTGAGAGGAAGTGGTATAGCCATATGACAGGCAACTTCATATAGGGTATGTAGGATTTAGAAAAATGTTTTATTTTACAGTAGTAAATAAAATTATCCTTAGCAGCATGTGATTGATCTAGCAATGAAAACCACAGTGGTTAAATCATATCTCCAGAATGGGCAAATTCCTGTGCCCTCGGAGTATAGTATTCTTCTTGAAGAGCTGGATTGTTTGTTTTTTTTGTAATTGTTAAACATAATCTCATTTCTTCCAGCTGTTATCCTTTATTTGTAGGAGGGATTTGGGGGTACACTGAGAAATTGAACTCACATTAGTTCATTATCTGTTCTTTACAGGTATAATATAGTGGCTGTTGTTTACATGGTTGCATATACATATAAGAATGTACGGTAAAAACGTACATTCGAGTCTAAGAAAAACTTTACAATGGATTAGATATTGTCATTTCCCATGTAATTATACATCTGGTGATTGATGTGAACATGAAAACAGTTAAAAGATACCCTGTGCTTGTATTTCTAAAACAGGTAGCCTGTATTACTTATGTCTACAGTAGAACTGTTATTGTAATTGAGTCAGATTTTCCCTTTCTCCACTCTGGCTTAATTGATGACATCTGTCATTTAGGTCTGGGTTGCGCGATACATATGTACATGTATAGTTATAGCATATTTTCCATAGGTGGTGCCATCATAAAAGTGATGACCATGAGAAATTAAAATATGACAAATGTTTGAGCTTTTGTTTCTTTTTCAGCTCAGTCATTTGCTTCACAGTTAATTTAATACAGTATATAAAGTTAGACATTACTATTTGAACTTTAATCCCAAGAAATAAAAATATGCAGGGCCCTGGATGAAAAACAAAAGGAAATATGATTGGTGGTATAAACTCATAAATTTGGAGTCAATTTAAAACAGTTAAAAACAGTTTTTGAATTTGTACACATTAAACACAGAGAATGGAAAATCTCATTTTCACCTAATTGAGGTAGACTTACATAGTTGCTCAAATGTGGGCACTGACTTGACTGAAATAGGTAACTTGACTTCAGTGTAATGTTCTCTACAAATTGTGGCAAACTGACATTTCAAGCAATACTTGAATTGCTTGTGATTGTCTTTTGTTGCGGGGTGGCAGGGGGATACAATGGTTAGCATTGTCACTTTTCAGCTCTGGGTTCAATTCCGGACCACGGGTGCTATTTGCACAGAGTTTGTATGTTCTCCTTGTGTTTGTGTGGGTTTATTGTGGGTTCTCCAGTTTCCTCCCACAAATTGGTTTTTGGTAAAACTGGCCCTGGTGTGAGTGTGTGTCTGTGTCTGTCTGCCCTACACTGGATTGGTGTCCTGTACAGGGTGTGCCCTTTCTAGCTCCTGTTGCTTTTCAGGATAGAATACAGCGCCTCTGCGACGGTGATGTAGATGAAGCAATTAGAAGATGGCTGTCTTTTTGTTGCTTTTTACCATTAACTGTTAACTGTAAAAAAATTAGCCTTTAACTTTATTTCATTAGTGAATCCTTATTATTCTAATACCTTTTCCTAAAATTGCCCACAGAAAGTCCATCCATGGGAGTGATGTGCAAACTTTAAGAACCTCACCAGCTTGAAGAACAAAGACGGCTTACTCTCTGCTCAGAAGGAAGCTTGTTTACCGGAACCAATGTTTCCAGTGAAAATGTACTGTAGAGACACTTGTGTAGGAGTGTGTTTATTGAGAGATTAAGAAGGTCTCTTGTATAGGAATTGCACAGCTATAAGCCATGGATGATTATACAACCAGAACATATGGAACCAGTGGACTGGACAACAGACCCTTATTTGGAGAAACATCTGCCAGGGTAAAATATTTTTATATTTATTTTGACTGCATGTGTAATGAAACTACTTGTTACTAGTCAAATGCATTAGAGAACATTGAATTTGAACCACAATGAATGCAATTATAATGACAATGATTGAGTTGACAAAGAGTTTCTACTGTATACAAGGGTGGATTAAAAATTAATGAGCCTAAGAGGGAAATAGTGGACACCATTGATGTGGCAGTATAGTAAAAGCAATAAATATTCCAACAGTTGTATTGATTGCTTTGCTCCGAGTACATTTGAAAATAGCAATGAAACTGAATTTCTGAGTGTCCATTATCATCTATAAAAAGATGAGGAGCAAAGAACCTGTTATGATTGGGAACTGATTGTTTGAAAATGTGCATCGTTAAATAACAGCAGCTACAAAATAACAATTTCTGATGTTTCCTTCTACGCTACGTTTCAAACCATCCACAAAAGAAAGAAAATCGGTTTGGTCTGTTTTGAGACACTGTTCTCTCGAATCTATTCTACATAATACTACTTAATAACTCTTGCCCAAAACCTGTGTGTTGGAGGTCACTACTTGGTCACTCCAAAAGTGAACACAATGAAGATTGATAGGTGGCTTCTGCTATTTCAGTACCCCCAATTCAACAGAAGCTCAGCATAAGCAAATGTTTTTAGAAACTTGTGCTCCATATTGCATTTTTTTCTTTCTTTTTTTTCAGGATCGAATCATCAACTTAATAGTTGGTGGCCTCACATCTTTACTAGTTATAGTAAGTAATAACATTTCCATTTGACATTGATAACCATTTAAATATTCCTTTATGGTGTAACAGTATTTACTGTGTTTAAAAGAAAAAAAATGTTTCAGATCATTTAGCTTTCTTGCTAGAAATTGGATAAACCATTTTTGTGGTAAATATGTTGGATACATTTAAATGTAGAACTGACATTTTTACAGGTTTTCCCAACCTTTTCTTGCAGGTTTTAGTTTTATGACTTTTAACTGAAAGCAAAAGGATTTCATGTTTCTTTTATCTTTCTTGTATTTCTCTATGCAGGTTACAATTATTAGTGCTTTTGTCTTCCCTCATTTACCTCCAAAACCTGTGAATGTCTTCTTCGCCATTTGTATCATTATGAGTTGCGCCTCAGTTATAGTACTTGTAAGTATGATTGTGGGGAACAACCACATAACCTAGTATTTATGTGTGTGTGGCCTCCTCAATCCATCAATCTCAATCCTTTTGGAGTTTCAGTTTCTCAACCCTGTCTTCATAATTCCTGTGTACTACCATACACACAGTGTATGTGGTACTTAATTAATGATGCAGCTGTTAGCGGGGCATTTGTTTTTAAAACAGAATGAATTTGGGGAAAAAAAAACCAAGGATGGGTTTCTGCCACAATTTTAAGATCAGTGATTTAGATCAGTGTAGGCATGGTTTATAACAAGGCGTGAACGCAGTAGGTTTAGATGTTTTCAAAATGATGCTACAGTTTAGTATGCTGAATCACATTTTAGAAAATAATTTAATGTTTGAATATACTGTATACTGAAAAAATGCAGAGAAATGGCTTTAACATGGAATTTGTTTCCAGCTCAGAGTAGAATGCTGTTATACAATGGCCTTCAATGTTATATCATGCCTGGAAACTGTAAATGTGTAGACAATTAATGTACAACCCTGTACATTAGCCTGTTGAATTAATGAATAACCTTCTGGTATTTCAGTACCCCAAATTCAGTTTTTTTTTATTGGTGAATTGTTGGAAAGCTGACCAAAACACCCCCATCACAGTACAACCTATACAAAAAATAAATCTATATTCTCAAAGGGTGAAAAAATGGCTAATGCTCTCTTGTATGGTAAGCTAACACTAATGGCACAAGCCTTAAACCAAGTGAAATTGTTGATGTGCTAAAAAAGAATTTCTTGTCTCCCACAGATTTTCTGGTATCGCCAAGGAGACCTGGAACCTAAATTCCGAAATCTGATTTATTATGTCTTATTTTCAATAGTAATGCTTTGCATATGTGCCAATTTATACTTCCATGATGTGGGGAAATGAGAGACAACAAAATGCCTTATAGACATTGTACTGACATAACAAGGAGCTGTTCTACGTGGAGATCTTGTACCTTACAAAAGCACAAAGAATGTAATCTCTGTACAAGAAGCAGTAGTATTATATAATGTAATCATAAAAGAATGGATTAATTGTGAATATATATTTAAAGATCATTTAAATTGAGTCTTTAAGAGTGTCACTGTGTACTGTACAGAGGGATAGAAAGGACATTTTCATCATACTTCTCAGGCATGTTGCAAAACCAGCCTGGCAAGAGTATACTGAGGCAAGCACGTGATCTTAAACAGTCAAGACTTTTTAATTGGTACATTCTGAAGTTACAAAATATCTGTTGGGAATCTACATAATTGCATTAGCAATTAAAATACTTTTCAAATCATTTCTTCAGCTTTTAGTAACTTTACAACAACTTTTGTAAACTAATGTAATCCAGATTGGCAGATTTGGAATGCTGCGTTTCAGGAGGAATTTAATCAGTTTTATTTCTTCGAGACATAATTTTTTTTTGTTAAAACTGCCAACAAGCTGTATGAGCTCTTGAGCTCTGAGAAAAGCCATTATTACTAAAGGATGAAGTTTTTATAATTGTATATAAAAGATAAGTATACATTCCAAACTTTTCCATAGTTTTGAAATGGCATTTTTATTATTTTTGGTAAAGTTTACATTCCTTGTAATAAAGCTCTTGTGAAGACATTTGATACTTTCTGATAACGGAAAGACCAATTGCACATTTTCTTAGTTAAAATATTAATTATTGCTCTCAGAACCAAGAAAAAAAACAGGTTAATATAATCAAAATGCTAATAAAACTGTGACAAAAATCTCCCATTTTAAATCTGAAGTCATAAAGAAATAAAATGCGTCAATACACTACCCCAGAGGTGTGTCTGTGTTTTGTGGATATCAGTTTTTCATTTGAATTAAAGCGAATAGTTGTAGAGAAAGACTAACCAGAGTCTTAGCAGTATTCAAGTTCATTGACCTAATTATTACCCATGATTGTTTTAATTATTGACTTGTATTGTGTAAATAATCATTTTTCTATCAGAAAGATCCACTGTGTCTAGAACATTAGTTGTGCAACTAAATCCTAACATATTAGCAAGAAAATGTTACCGAATTGTGTTGGTATCCTTATCAAATTCTATTCTTGTCAACAAAGTGAGTGAAATGTATGCAGTTTTCATAATACTTTTATTCTACCAAAGGTATTGGAGGATTTGAATCAAGGATGAAAACAAGCATTATGATAGGTATTATAATTAATGAGATATTTCCACTGTGCTTGTTTTACCTTGTGAAGATAATATCCAGGTAACAGAAGAAAATTATCACTAAGAATCATTCAATAGTATGATGTATGCATCATATATTGTAAAATGATGTGGCTGTTTGCAATTTACTATAAAAAGTTACTGCCAAATTTAAAAACAATTACAGTCCTGACACCATCTTGAGGATGAGCAATTTCTAAAAATCAAATAAGCTAAGACATGATTTTAATTAATCATTAATCCAAAACAATTTGGAGGTGTAGAAATAAAAAACTTGATATTTCTCTTAAACTACCACACAACTAACACAGGAAATACCTAAAGCTAACATTTTTAAATTACTATTTACATTAGGAGTGAGTTCTGTAATTCCAACACAATACATCCCACCTTTGTCATTTAATCCCTAACACTGGCTATCCTCATGCAGCAGAGGTGGGCATACTGTAAATCTTTATCAGGGTAAATTGCTTTCAATAATCATCCACTGGTGTTCCCTCTAAATGGATTTTGCAAGGAGACAAACTGGTCTAAAAATACAAAAAAAATGCCTGAGAATAAACAGAAGACATACTATGCTAAAAATTACAAAGGACCCCCCACATACAATCCATTTCCATTTAACCTTTAAAGAATCGTCAATGTTCCTCGACTCCACAAGAAAAAAATAAAGCAGTTCACACAAGACTCAAAGTGCTGTATAAAGTCTCATTTAATAAATAAACACGACAAAACATAAAAGACAACTTCTTCGATAAATAAATGCACTTGTCTACACGGACATTTGGAAGTAGCTGACAAAATCCTGTAACTACCAAGACAGGACCAGTGCAAAATCTGTATACCTGATAAGGTACATACTGTATTAACCATTAAGGACCACATTCAAGAAATGCAGTTTTAACTAGTTATGTTCTACCTAAATTAAAAATAAATCCAAAATGTGGTAGTTACTTAGAAACTGAACATATTTGTTAACTGTAGGGCAGTTTAAATACTTCACTTAATCCACACCTGATATTTTAAAGAATGCTTTTATTTTTAGACTTCTCAAATTTTTTGACTTGTGACAAACAAGTACATATATCAGGCATTCTGCATGAAAACGTTGGTTTCTGTTTAACTCTAAATACAAATCTGTATTTTAAATGTATTTAAGGCCAAATGGACTTCATTTGACATCTGACAAATTTCTGTTTTTTAAGAATTGTGAAAAACATTTGCTGAGAACCCAACATTTGTCAAAATTGGCACATTACCTTGATTATTAATATGTGCATTTGGGTGTAACAGACTGGAAAAGGCTAAACAGACAGGTATGAGTGGGGATGCAAGTTGTACCATCCCAGCAATTAAAAAAACAAATGTAACTGTGTCATATTCATTGCTCAACAGCAGCACCTACTGCCCAGTAAGGACAGTTGACACTTTTCAGACTGTGCTTAGTCCTGCCAGACAAAACACTAGCAGCTTCCACTAAATTGTGTAAATAAAAAGATTTTGAAGATATAATCACCTAACCTTACCCACTTTCAAGCTACATTAATAAGGCTGAGATGGAATTTAGAATTCCAATCCAGGGCAGAATCAGATCTAAGCACCTTAAAAATGGTTATTGTATTGCATATTATTGTATTGGAGCAGCCAATTACACATAACCCTGTTTAAGTTTTTCATTTGAGATAGAAGAAAGTTTTCCACTGAAAATCAATACCCATTGTATTTCATAACCAAAAACTGATTTAAACTGAAATAACTTATTGTATGCTTTTACAACAACTAAAAAAAACAGTTAAAACAAAACTAAATTAATATATATGTCCTACCATGTAAGCAATAGAAAACGAAATGAATTCTATTGATGGGGGCAATGACAGGTCTCAAACAGGTCATATCTTTTTGGCTAGGGTCTAAGAGTCAAATCATGGTCAGCTTAATGTTAATGTGTTGTTTTTTTCAGCTCTCAGATACACAGCTGTTATAACCATTTAATAAACAGCATGACTGTAAAATACATTTCTCACTAGGCTGGTGATTCATAGGTCACTCTACCTTTTGTGAGTATGCTGGGTAAACAACAATAAATAACCATTAAAGAAATCCTACATATGTCTAAGAAAATAATTAGATTAATTGTTTGACTACTCAGAACAAAACAAAAGTTAAAGATACCCATGTTTTACAACATGAGTATATCAGGCACAGCATTGATGGCTGTAATGCAAACTGACTGAAGATCAATGTAGAAGCCAACGATCCCCATATTAAAAGAGGAGAGCAGGATAATAAAGATATGAGTGAAATAAACATTTTCGGTTTTGCAAATGTTTCAAATGCTTCTTTCACATGGGGAAAAACTCAAGTCTATTAATAAAATCTTATTTACAAATATTGTGCCATTCTAGTACAAAAAACTCTTAGTAGTATTTTACAACCCACACTATCAAGATATGTGCAAAAATCTATGTTTAAAAGGAAAAAGGAACATGAAAAGACATTGAAAAGTTGCTGAACTAGAACTGACTCTCATAACTGCTATTCAAGTCTGCCCAAAGACTAAGAAAGATATTTAAAGCAGAAAGAATCAAAAGTAGCAATCGAAAGCTGAAATGAGAGTGATGCCGATTACAGGAATTTTCTGTCTGGCTGGCTAATCTCATATTCACTAAGCAAAACAAAAATGCTTAATAACCCTGCAAAGGGTAAAACACAGGTTAACCTGAAATAAAAATCTAGTAATAATAATAGTAAATAACAAAAATGTCTTGAGGCGTGTTGTGCTTCTTATCCAATTTTTACAATAGTGTATCTGTTAGATGCTAAACCATGACGATCTTATGAAACACTAACAATAATGATTTGTTGGAGTGGAAGCACAGACCTGTTCAAGGATGAGACACACCTGCACATACCAAACCAGCTCAATAGCATGGACCTGTTGTTGAGATCAATTCAGACAATACACAGAATAATTGTTTTCTACTATTCAGTGTAAGTAACAAAAGCAATACTAATCTTGTAACCCTTAAAGGGCACCTGTGGTGGTTCTGCAAAGATACAGAAAAACACTGTGTCAAAATCAGATGTGATAATAGACCATTACACAGAGTGTCCATAATGTGATTTTCAATAAATGTGCGTGATGAAAAATACAATTCAAGAAAAAGTGCAAATGTACAGTTTTGAAATAGATCATGTCAAGCCATTTAACAAAATCAGCATAATAACACTAATCAGAGGAATGCTCCCATTCAAGACTTACACTTTTGTGACCTTTTTGACAGACAAGCCATTATATTTGGATGTTCCCTACTAGCTAATCCATTAATTAAAAATATGAGTATAACAAAAAAAAATTGTGCTGAATTTCAAATGAAATTCATGGAAGGTCTTGGGACCTTCTGTTCCCATCTGAGTAGTCAATTAAATAATTACCCCAATTATTAGTCATACAGTGTTTTACTGTTGACTACTCAAAACGTTCACTTCATTAAAGGTACAGTTTCCTGTAAAAAAAAAAGTTTGTAGCCTGGCCTCGTAAGAAAGATTACAAATTGTGATTTTAAATAATCAGACCAGCTGTGTAACTGAGAGAAAACTGCAGAGTCTCTAGGAATAGAGTTTGAGACTGCTGTAGATTACGTTTGCACCTATACCTTTTAAAAACAAAATAAAGAAATAATTTATTGCAAACAAAGAGCAAATCATAGGATTTATCTTTATGAATGCCAGGATTTCATTAATAAATACATCAAAAGTCTGTTGCCAGGCAAATACTATCCTTACTGTAAAGATAAGGTTTGAATTGAGGGATAGAATTCTAATAAAGGGGAAAATATTGCATTTCAGTGGATAAAGAAAGGGTTAATCATGTTTGTATTTTTCGTATGCTGTACATACAAAACATTTGTGAAGATCACACGTATTTTCAAAATGTTCTATGTGATCATAAATAATTATGCATGAATTATAATAATTGTGTCAAAGTAATACAGCTCCAATGAAGATTATTATTGAGAAAACAAGAGAAGCTTCTGCAAAAACAAGTCTTGTATTTAAACCCTTTACTTTGCTGTGGTTTAATCAATTGGGTTTGTACTGTATCTAATCAAAATTTTCTATTTACTATTTTCTATTTAATATTCATTATGCAAATACTCACTGGAAACATAGGAAGATAACTCCTCACCTGGAAGCTAATATTTATCATTAAATTAGTAAATATGATATTTACACATTTAAGGACAGACTACATGTTGCAGAACCTTTTTTGTGTTACTGTGTCCTGTTAAACTGTGTTGCAAGAGGATATCATGTGTTAAACCTTAACAATTGCATTTATTGACTGGCTGGGATGAGAAGCAGTGTTTAAAAGCTATGTCTCCTCAACCGAAATGCCAACTTCTGCAGTGCTTTTGACAAAATATGATCTTTACATAATAAAGATACATGTTAACCACAACAGGTACCCTTCACAGAATTAGGTCAGTCAAAATATTACAAAAATCGTAATGTAGATAATACAGAAGACTTAAGCATATTAGAAAACTTAGTGACTTCAGACACTTTCAGTCAACTAATCCATCCATATCTTTTGAATCCACTGGATCATGGCTAATGACATCTGTGCCTTCTTCTTGATGTTCAAGTATTGGATCTAAAAGAAAACAGAAGGCTTAAGCATATGGCTTGTTTTCTCATATCAGTAACATTCAAAGTTAATGGAATACATAAAAAAAACATAAGTACAAAAAGCCATCTTGTGCCATACAAGTGTATTATTGACTGCACAGTGTAATACTTAAGAGGGCACTACGTGATTTGTGTTTTGATTATTTTATATGACAGGAATATTGTGTTTTGCTTGACAGATAACAGGTGATGTCAGTGTCTTCTTTGTTATCGGTATTAATGGGAATATCTTTATATGGAGGTGTACCGAATTTCATGACTCCACAGAGCACAAAAAGCCAGCTAAGTTCATGAGCGCCATACACTTCCTATTACTGGGTAGACAGTGTTACAATACTGCCACAGCTACAGCAGAAGCACAGAATGAGCTTTCAAGGTACCTAAGGGACTACATTTTAATATTTAATATTTCAACATTTTGACATTTTTTTTTAATATTATAGCCAACATTTTCACCTGTCAGTGTTGTTAAGGGCAGCACAGAGTCACTGTCGATGTCATCAGCAGGCTGCATAAATCCGTTAGGCGACGGGACGATAAGAACAGTTCCTTCCCCAATAGCTGATTCACCCACTTGCTCTTCCATTGTTGACCCCAGAGTCTGTGAAAACAACAAAGAAAGCAAAAATCAACTGGCAAAATGTTCTCCAGACATTTTGTACAGACCTGTTGGTACATTATTTAAACACGACACATTTCTAACCAAACTTCAGACAAGATTTGTGTGTGTGCTTTACACCTGGCAAATCTATAATTATTTTATAGATAATAATTTTATTTGATAATTTTATAGGTATTTCTAGATTATAATTATAAAAATTAAAATTATGCCCTCCAGAGGTCCTTAATATTACATCTTCACTTGGAAGACGTTCATCCACGCTACCATGAAGTATTAAATATTTAGCATTAAGTTGCTATTTACTGTATATTTTCTTAAAAAGGAAAAAAGAACAATCTAACAAAAGTGCGCTTCCGCAAAACATTGTTTCCTCATAAAAAAAGAGCAATTATATTTTAGCAAGCAACAGAACTTAATAATTAATTAACAGTTATCATACTTATACTGTCCAAAGTCAGATGGCATGGTGGTACAGTGGTTAGCATTGCTGCCTCACTGTGGGGGCTCTTGGTTCAATTCTGGACCTGGATTGCTATTTATATGGAGTTTGTATGATCTCTTAGATTTATCCAAAGTCCGAAACGTACTGCAAAGATAATTGGTTTCTGGGAAAAATTGGCCCTGTTGTGTGTATGTGCATGTCTATATTAGTGTCTGTCTGTGGATCAAAAGCCACTTTTCATATAGGAATGGAACCACTCCTTCCTCTACTGAAGTGTTCACCCACCTGAATGAGACACAGCAACCCCACTACATGGCAGAGAAGTGAGAAACAACTTTACCAGTTAAATTATGGAGGGAAATTTAGGTAGGTCAGATTTTGCAGTGGAATTTAACCAGGACACCAGGTTTCTGCATCCCTATTCTTACAAACAGTGTCATGTGATTTACATCCATTTGTCCAACAACACCACATTCTGCAATAACTTGATTTTCTTCTGAGATCTGATGAGGTCAGGCTAGAATATGGTAACACTGCTAGCTGATCTGCAAATCTTTCAGGCCAGTAACACAGAGTCAAAAAAGAATGGAAATCAAAAGCATAAATACCTCACTTAATAGACTAAAAACCACAGAGTTAAGAGTGAGCCAGAGAAACCAAAGACTTATATACCTCATTCAGAAAATTTGCCCAACACCACATCATGTTGAAATTCCTGTGCTTTTGAATGTTTGCCTTGAATCTGTTTGAAAGTTCAAAGTTCACAGCATAAACAGCTCTTGTGTTCTTGAAAAAGATGAGAAAATTCCTCACTCAAATGTAAGCATCCTGATGAGAAGGTGTGACTGAGACATTTACCTGGGCTGTGTATGTGCCTGTCAGGTCTTCGTGCACCTCGTCTGCCTTGAGCCCAGTCTCTGCTATACCTTCTTGATGTTCTTCCGAACTGCTCTCCAAGTATTTCGCCCTGTGTGAACAGCTGAGCTCTGCCTGGTTTCCAACCACTGTCTGAGAAATCTCTTTGTCAATCCCTGGCTTCTCCAGAGAGATATGAGAGCTGAAGGAGTCCACTTCAGGAGTTTCCTGAGGGTTGGCCAAGACGGACTGTTCAACAGTCAAATCCGATTGGGTTATGGATTCTGGGGAAGCAATATCATCCGAAGAAACTGCCCTGATTATGACACTGGGGTGGGACATCTGCACGGTGACGTTTTCATTTGGGTTAAGCAAACTGTCGGGCTAGGGTAAGAAACAGAAACAATATATTGTTTTTTCAAGAGTTTCAGTGAATTAGGCCTTTTTCTATGACGTCACTCATTTATCACTCACCTATTTTTAAAACACACCATCAGAGTACTAAAGGAGAAAAGGTTAAACCATGTGTAAAACATTCCATAAATAAACTAATATAATATTGTTATCTATTAATAGTTCAATATAAAAAGTAATAATATTGATCCATTTAGAAAAGAGCTGGGAGGAAAAAATGAGATTATTTTACTGTATAATATTGCTCAACCAACAATATAACCCATGTTTTAAAAATACGTAGGTATGAAAAACCTTATAACATTTTAAATGAAAACATGACGCTATTAAAATACTGAAACCTTCTATTAATAAAATGTGGTTGGTCAAAGTAGACCAATTTACCTTGATGACTACCTTAAAGCTGAAACTCAATGTTGTTTGATTAATTAGCAAAATATTAAAAAGGTTTCAGGGAATTTGTAAAGTTTGTTAAAAAAACAACAACCACGTGAAACATCTTCAGAAAAGCTCATCACTGAAACACAGCGAAATATCAGAGAAGGCCAGCAAGCAAACTTACCGACAAAGCATGTACAATGATCTGCTCTGGGGATGATGGTGATGCTGCTGCAGTGAGTGTAACTGTGGGGCTGGCTGAGAGTGTTAAAGGGAGGCCTTGGTTTGATCCAGTCTGGATGAAATATGTCCCAGGAGTTCCTGTCGGCTGTAGGTGGAATGACTAAAGAAAGAAAATATAATAATCATGTACTACACAACATTCTAGAAAATAATATACCAACTCACCAACACAGCTACAGAATCAATTATTGAAAACTTTAACTTTGTTTCTTCACATTTTGCCTCCCTTTAACTGATTGCTGATTCACATGTAACATAATTAATTAGTGCTGCAACTATTTCTTCATAGAATAACCATTTGAGGAAAGTAGCTATTTGGGAACCTGTACACACCACAAAATGTTTGGCACTTTTTAGATAACTATTACCCACCTTGTCTCAGTGACTTCTAAAGAGCTTTTCAGAGAAAAAAAGCAGGTAAAAAATCTGCTACAAATAAAAGCTGGGCATACAAAAATCAACAATTGTAAGTAAAATGGTATAATTACCAACCAGCCACGAGTGGGCAAGTCAAGAAAACATGACAACTGTTCAGAGAAAACATATCAGAGATATAAGGGAAAACCCTAAAACAAATGTCTGTGAAATCACCAACAGCCTTGAGAGTACGTACTGTAGGTCAAGGTATAAAGATCCACAGTGCTCAGAAGACTAAGACAGCAGAATTACGGAGACTGCACTGCAAAATTTGAACATCTCATCAGCACTAATAACAGAAAAGACAGATTAAAAGTATGCTGAAGTACAAAGATGAGGCAGGAGAGTTTGGGAACTCTCCTAACTTTTGGATAGATGAGACCAAAATGATGGAAAGGTGAAAAGGGAACTGCAGTCCCAGTTTCTCAGACTGGTAATTAAATCTCAGTCACAATGTAAATTAATTTATCGTATTGCAAAAATGTACACATTTCGAATTAAGTGCATAATCCTGAACTTTGTGAAAGTACTTGTATGATTGACACTGCTGCAGGCAGACGAGAAACAGGTGAGAGTGAGAGTTTGCCCAAACTGTGACATGAAAGCAGCCCTTCCTGCTCACTAGTCACTGTAAGCAAATGAGAAACACAGTCTCCTGATAAAGTTAATTATAATGAGTGTATTTTAGTTGGTTGGCAGGTAGCTCTTTTTTTTGCAAAACTTAAAAGTATCTAAGACGCATATTCCCTTGTATGTGTTTTGTTTCATTAAAATATTTCCTTGGTCTAAAGCATGTTTACAATGTAATAAGGTATTTTTTCATTGTGGTTTTAAAAATCATCACTGCCGATTCATTATAACCCCGAACTGTAAAAATAGCATTGCAGTTCCCCTATAAAGTATGAGGAAGGAAAGGAACTACAGATCCTCTAAAGACTACCACCTCATATGTGAAGGTAGTATCATAACCTGAGTATGCATGACTGCCTCTGACTCAATCATTTTTATTGAACATGTGATTAACAATAATTATGTCTTCAATAAGAATTTAAGAATGAATCAATTTTGTTGGGTGCTTACATAGAAGAAAATGCTGCATTGTTGGGTGGTGCTTCACTGTGCAGATTGACTATTCTATATGTATCCTGACAGGCTGAAAGAACTGAACCTTTTATCCCTTGAACAGAGGAGACTACTGTCAGAGGAGACTGACAAAGTCTACGCACACAGAGGACATCTTTAGAATATACAGTTAAATGTGAACTAGAGGCCACAAGTAGAAACTATGTGGAAGTGCATTTAAAACTGAGAGCAGGAGGTTTGTGAAAAACACACAACTGAAGATTCCAAATTGGGTGGTTATAACAAAAAGAAAATAACTGGAAATTCTAAATAAAAATAGCTCCACAGTGTTTCACAATTAATAAATTATCTAAATAAACATTTGGTATAGACATTTGGCATACAAATGTGATGTTCAGAGTTGAAATTAGTATGCCTCATGATGTGCACTATAGATTTTCTTCCACATCCCTACACATGACAATTTCACACTGTTGGCAATTATGTATTTCCTTCCAAATTGAGTTGGATGTTCATTTATTACATTGTATACAGTTATCATAATATTCTGCAAAAAGGTTTATTTAAACCATTTTTTTACTTTGCACTTATTGCTGTTTATAATGTCTGCCTTACATTAACAGAAGGTCCTTCATCTCTAACAGAAGCGGCCATGTTCACACTTTTACAGTTCTACAGTTGCGTCAGGACAGTAGTACCACAAATGAGCTGGCATTTTTATACCTTCTCATATAAGCACACCAATACTTACTGGCAAGATTTCAAAAGTCTGTAGTGTTCCTGTGTTTAGTGTTATTGTCTCCGTTTCATTAGCAGCAACCGAGGTATCTGAAGAAGCTTTATAGAAAGAGGGGAAAAAAAGAGTTGAACAACACCATCATGCTCCACCAAGATTCACATACTAACATAAAATGTTTATCCTAATAAAGTGCTAAATTAGACATACATGCAGTAAAAGCATAATATTGAAATTCATGTATCGTAATTCAAAATAGGACCTCTAAAACTCTTCAGTTAAAAGATGTTAAATGAACCATGTACAAAAATGAATAAACAAAGAGCAGTAAGATTTAAGTATATTTGACCAGAAAATAGATCTTTTCCTTTTCTCTAAGACAAAGGTATCTAATGACAACTAAGAAGTCTACCACTTATTTTGAGCCACAGAGAAGACTTCAAAATTCCAGTGAAATGAAAGGTACAATATTTGCATTGTAGCTTGAGTGATTGAGATCAACACCGTGATGTACAAAGAAAGAACTTTAAATGCCCCTTTAAAGTACAGAAGGGGCTTTTTCTTAAGCAAACCGGTCACTTAAAAATAAAGAAAAATAGTGCAGGAGAGTCTTTTTAGCCATCAGTCAGTTCTGGCGTGAACACACACAGTTCACTGTGTTTCCTTAAGATCCCCTTTGGTCCACAGGCAACTGTACACTTCCCCCCACTCCTCCTAAAGATATAAACAGCCCTACCCCCAGGGTGCCTCCCTGCCAAATCCCAGGCAAGGAAATGGCAACTGCTATAGTATCAAATCAGATGAAAAAATGCATACTAAGGTGTAAATGACAACGGACAGTTTTGTGATCTTTATTTCAGATCACACAATCACAAACCTCATTTAGGTTTGCAAGCGTTACTGCAGTTCCCTCCCCAAATCATCTGATTAGTCACATGCAGATAAATTTCACGTGTGAAACTCTAGATACAGAGGCACAAGCTTGAACATCATTTTTAAACCCAAACTGCTAGAATTGTATCCGCAACAAACCAAACCTACAGACATGAGTGATCTGCACAGGAATCTGCACTGGTATCTGCAGGGCTGTCATGGGGTTTGGAGGGACTGTGTTGCTCTCCTCCAGGCGAGCCACTCGGATCTGAACCTGCTGGACTGGAGAAGGGGAGGAACTGCCTGTCCGTGATCCCACTCCAAATTTACTGTATGGCTGCTGGTTTTCCACCAGATCCTGAAGTCCTTTGAGAAGCACTTGGAGGAAATTTGAAAAATGAGTCGATTCAATGCGATTCGTTTCATAGGTAACAGCAGCATATTTTCTTTCTTTTTTACTTGCATTTACAGCTACATTCTCTTTGCAAGCAAAATTTCAACAAATCACCTACGTGATTGCTTTAGGGTGTAATGAATATAAAAAATGTGATGATGCTCAAATGTATGAAACATGATTACGTGATTGTCTGTTCTGCCTTCAGGATTTTTTAATTCTGAAATCAGGAACAAGGGAAACGAAACCAGCTCTTAGCTCACAGCAAAGAAAATAAAAGTAGGGTCAATATTAGCAGCACCAAGCTAAATGACAAAGCAGAGGCTCAGTCAGTCAAACTGCATAACAAAATTCAACAATACATAATGCAATGCACACCGTACAACATGTTGCAGTTTTGTGCATATTTTTGCTTTCATAATTCAGAGGAACAACCATACCAGGGAAGGGGAGCTCCTTGTGGTTGGAGACTTGTCTTTTAATCGTCCACCATTTACTGCGCAGCCACTGAGGGGAGCGAACACTGCTCCAGCCCCCTGCCAAGATGTCCCAGTTGATGTCATTTTCATCACCCACCCCCAGTTCCGTAATCCTGAAAACAAACATGCCATTAACATCCTTTCCTTGGGAGCAGCACGATATCCCCTTAATCACTGGGGATATGTTCCTGAAATGTTGGTGGATATAGAAAAATGCATACAGTTTACTAGGAAAAATCTCTTATCCTATAAATCATGCATCATTTAGTGTACCTAATATACAGTGCAAATCAACAAATATACCAAATAACTAAAGGACATTACAGAAAATAAATAGGGTACTGCATAGTTATCTACTATATAAATATTATAAAAATGAATATAACAGCACTCAATAACTGAAAAGGTATGTGGTTTATCTTCAGGAAGATGTGAAGGTTTTGTGCCCTCTTAACCACTTTTATCCTTTTCCCTGCGTTTTCACACAGGAAAAGTTTTCAAACACTAAAGTGCAGAGCAAAAAAAAGGAGTGATCTCTGAGAATGTTCTAGAAGTATGGCTCTCTGGCCAGGCTTGGTCTTACACTGTGTGCATGCGAAACCACAGATGAGGATGAGGAGGAAGGAATGTACACATCATAATCCATAAAGCATCTTCTAAGAAAAACAAATGGCTTCCTTATTACAGGTTCTGCAATTCTATTCTGAATCGAGTAGAAATTGTTTAAGGCCATTGTATAAATTATTTAATCATACGAAATGACAAAAACATTGGCTAGTGTACCGTTTTACTAAATTCATGTCATCCTCCTTTGTCCATTCTGTGCCACCACTCTGCTTCCAGTTGAGGTAGTTCAGCCACTTGGAGCGACACTGTTTCTCAGAGCGTGTACCCACCAGCTCTGCCACAGCGGCCCAGGAGACCCCCTGGGTAACAGTGTGACCTGGCTCTGTGCCCGTGAGCTCATGGACCACCTCCGCCAACCTGTGCTCCTCTTCTTCTGTCCACTTGCCTAAGCCCAAAAAACAAATACCCTGTTTTTTGGTGGACATGGACGTTATTATCCTATAGATCCCCGAACAGCTGAGGGCTTGAATATCTCATTTTCTAGCCTTCCACACACGGTATCAAGTCATCTCTGATGATCAGCTTGAAATCCACTAATTTCCTCATGCACACATATACAAAATGATTGTCTTGTAACTGGATTTACAGTGATCTCAGCACTGATATGAGACAGCAATTACTCAGAGAATGAAGCGTTTTAGCACACTGTGTTGTGTTGGCAGATTTAGAGGGAGCTTTAATTCTTGGATCAGGATTGGCAGAATGTGCTGAACACGTTCTTGATATTTTCTAGGATGTATATTTTTTCAATCTGAAACACTGAGTTTTTTTCAGTATGAATAGAGGACTTACCTGTATTGCAGGTATCTTTCATCAACCTACATCTGTCCTTTACAGATGATGCACTTCTTCCAAGAGCTGCACCAATGGTAGCCCAGTCATTACCATGTTTATCTCTTAGTCTGCATATATACACACAAAAAAATGTGGCAGTACTGATAGAACATTTGTTTAATTTATTTTTTTAAACTGACTTGGAATATCACATACTACTTTGGCCCTGAACCTCAGTATAAATTTTGCTTAAATTGAATATATGTTTAAATTGAACTAGATCACTTACATAAATAATGTATTAATACTATATTAGCTTAAGGAATTAATTATTATAAAACTCCACTACATGTTAAATGAATGTAAAATCTACATTTCTTACTTCATATACTAAATTTTAAAAAAATCTAAATTCAAGTGAGGCTGTATAAAAACATTTTTTAAACTGTAAACAAGCATCATGAGCAAATAGATGGCAAAAAGTCTAAAAGACTAAATTATTAGTTTGGATACACACTGACTCAGACTTTTTCGCATCTGGAGTTTCATATGAATTTGCTTATTTCTTTTTACACTTTTCTTTGAATTGATTTTCAAAGCAATACATATTTCACCACGGTGTACACCAAAGAAGAAATAGACAACGTCTCAGACTAAGAGAAAGGACTAAATACTATATTAAATTGTATTAGCATGGAGAAAAACAGCCGTGTTACAGGTGTAAAATAATACTTAAGACAATGTCCAAGACCTGATGCAATTCTAACAGCTCTACTTAAGGAAACCATGAGATGCCTCCGAAGTTATTCAAAGACATATATTACTTACTGACTGGAAAAATACTAATGTAGTGTACTTTTGTCCAATGTACTGTACTACAACAGAAAGTATAGATGAGGTGTGACTGCTCAGACTGGGGTGATGTAATTAGACACATACCAAAAGGATGTGTATTAGGACCACTACCTTGCATAATTTATATCAATAATACAGACTCTGATATAGTTAGTGCACTACTCAAGTTCACAGCACCTGGCAAATGATAAGTGGGTGTTAAATGCAGGCCGCCCAAACATTAATTTTATATAGGAACAAGTAATAGGCTCATTCCATGCTGAAAAGAGAAGAAAGAAAACACAACATTTCGGCTGTGGAGCCTTTGCAGCCTACGCATACTGACGCAGCTACCCACCTTAATTAATTTTATATATATATAAATGTAAGATGGTGAAACACGAAAGTTAAGGAAGCCATCTATAAAAAAATATTAAAGTTTTTATGCCGACACATCTTCTAGACACACTACAAAAGAATGTTTGCTGATCTGGAATCAGTAAATGGTGACCAGCTGCATTCCAGTGCATAAAGGAATATCCTACTTTTACAGGCTAAAAGAACTGCATATTGTGTGTTGAACAGAGAAGATTATGAGAAGCTAAGGTTCACACATTTAAAATCTTCAAATTCAACTCCTCTGACATTTTGTTTAGATGCAACAGTTAAATACCAACCAGAAGTAACTAAGGGAATTGTATTTAATCCCGAGAACAGGAGGAACGTTTTTATACAAAGTTTTATAGGAATCTGGAACAAGCTGCAGAGCCATGTTGTTGAAGCTGATACACTAGTGTCTTCCATGAAATAGCACACTGGATCTCTTAGCTATGAGCAACCAAAAAGACAGACTGAACAAATGGCCTCTTCCCATTTGCAGCCATTCCTATGGTCTCTCTTAAGGTTACTAGTTGTTTAAGATCACTTTATGGCCATATACAATTTCTTGCATTAAGAATTTATCTTTTCGCATACCCCAGCTTGCTCTCCATGAGACACACAGACACACAGACAGGGAGAGAGAAGCTTGGGGTCAGAGCGCAGGGTCAGCCATTTATATGGCGCCCCTGGAGCAGCTGGGGTTAAGGGCCTTGCTCAGGGGCCCAACGGAGTAGGATTCCTCTGCCGGCTGTGGGATTTGAACTGGCAACCTTCCAGCCACAGGTGCAGATCCTTAGCCACAGTGCCACCGCTCCACCCTTTTTTTTAAGTTTAGCTGCTGTTGTCATACAGTTTACTATAAGTTTTAACAAACAGATTGTAATACTTACTCTTTTAGCTTATCAATTTCCTCTGGGGTATACCTGTGTAACAATAATAAGAAGGGCATTACAATCACATAAAAAAGCTAAATTCTTTTTACCTAATTTATCTAGAATTAGGTATCTATTGTCCCTTTCTTTGCATGTAACAGATAATTATTTTTATTTTTTCTGCCAATTGCTCTAACAATATGTTAACTAGCTTATTCAGATTAAAGATATATTTATTTCAACAGGAATATATTCTTACAGTATACATCTGATTCCAAGGCTGTATGTTTATCAGCCGATATCAGATATAAGTTACCATATAAACATAAACTATTTATCAGCAGGCAATAAACATTATTTAAAAAGTCATTGGTCAAAAAAAAACATAAACAATGCAGGAAAAACATGACACATCAAAACTACAATCTGTGTTAATGAAATGGTCATAAATTGCTGTTTGAAGGCTTTACAATACAATATGAATATTCACAGAATGGTTTAAAAGGACACAGGGGAATTATCCTCCTAACAAGGATGGCAATGAACATCCAGAAGTTAGTCCAACAGAGCCATTTCACTCCATTCCAAACAGTGTAAAACTTAAAGGCCTTAAAGCCTTGTCACACTCAGTTATGAGCCACAGGACAAAGACAAAGCTGGACTGGAAATATCAGCTGATCTCAAGAGTTTACTGAATTTAGGCAGAGTACTTTTAAAAATTCACCTACTTTCCAACATGGTTCCTGTTATCATACATGCGCAGCACTCGTCTATAAACAGCAAAGAGTGGACGGTTGAGACCCCAGGCAATGCTCCTGTAGAAGTCTTTCCTCTCGTCCTTAGACATCTCAAAGATAATCTCTGTGGGGTCCTGGATTCCCCGATTCTAGAAATAAAGGTGAGAAGTGTGAGAGGTTATGGGCAAACTTGTATAATTCTATTCATTGGTTGTAAGTAAATGATAATATTTACCAAAGTTCAATGCAGAAATCCTGCTTTAGGGACACAGTATATTTCTTAATATAATAATAATATTTTATGAAGACAAACACTAAACCAGCTCACCCCAAAGTTTTTCTATGACTTTAGATAATGAACTATATACAGTATCTTTGTAAAAATCTAGAAACACACTCACATGGTCAGAGTGCTTATATATATCCCATGATCCATTCCTGTGTGTGGTTCTGCTTGTAACTTACAATGCTAATGTTCTGTCTTCTAGTTTTTACCATGATATTTTTTTGCTACTGTATGTAACTTCAGCACTGTTAATTTCTATTCTTGAGCTGTATAAAGGCATCAGCTAAATATCATGATAATATTTTGACTGTGTGGAAAATATGGGTTGTTAAGCAAGTGGCATAATGTGTATTTTGCATTATTTATAAGGTTTAATGTGTATTAGTTAAGCACCTATAGTTATGGTCTTTGAAAAGTGAGTCTGAGAACAAAAAACAAAATGTTTCCATTGCACGTCTTGATTACCTTACACCACACCTGCATTTGTGAAAAAAATGTTAAACAATAGCATTGTTGTACATCTAACACAGGAAATAACGGTGTAAACAAAGATAAAAACAAAGGGAAATTGATTATTAGGTAAATTACACAAAGTAATATATTTTGAGTAAAAGACAAATGTTACCTAATACAATGACATTATGATATCATAATGACATTATACAATGTGACTCAGACTAATCACAAAGCACCACACAAGCACATGGGGCCTGTGTAGGTACATCAATAATGCTGTATGATTTTAAATATGTAGTGAGAATTATGGCTTGTTGGAAGAAAATCTTACATTTCAAAAGCATAGAAATCAATGTGTTTTTAAAATAAAGGCTCATCCCATTGGTAAATGAGAAGCCCTTTGTATTTCTCTGTGGGTAACTTAGGGTATTCATGAAATTAGTAGTGTTGGCAACAGAAATGGTTACGAAAGACCCAGATTCTCCAAAAAGCTCATAAGCTTAAATTCCCTACATTGCATATAACCAGGAATGTTTGTAACCTTGCAGAAATGGTACTGTAAAATGCACTTCAGCACAAAAAGATCTGTAGATCTATAAGATGTGTAGCTGTTTGGAAATCATAAGTAAGGATGGGCACAAAATAAAAAAAGCGATTCTGCTTCAACAGAAATGAAGCAATGGGATGATCAAACCCAGGTCAAGTTTCATTTGACAGATATGTCTAGAAGTAATCAGTATAAGTTCTAATGTCAACTGGAGAGCAGTAAATCAGTTAAGCATGAAGAGTGACCAATACAATTGTGGTCCTGTATCTCAGCCAACAGTGATGGGGATTTACAGTAAATCAAGGATGCCTTAACTAACAGCTGATACAGGCAGGTGTATAACCACCATGACTTTTTTCAGCAACAGATCATGTTTGGCAGATTAATCACTCTACATGACCATAACCCCAAATGTACAATTAATATGGTGAAAAAACATTTGGAATGTGAAGAGAAGAATGGAACATTAACAAAGATGAGACGGTGTATATAAAGTCTTGATTTATATAAATTATAAGTAACAGTGCATAAGTCTTTTCATATTGACTGTAACAGTTGAGCTCGTCCTAAGGTTGCCATCTGTTCTGTATTATAAGAGACATTTCTAATCTGCCTGTCCCTTATTGAATCAATTTTGTCCCATATTTCCAGATCTTAAATATATTAATTTGTGGCATGCCTAACAGACTCATTAAACAACTCTAACATTAACAGTAAAAGTGCTATTTTAGTGGTATAAAATTCCAGCCAACAGTTTTGTGAAGACTTTTCTTCAATCTGCTGTATACTCTCAAACCAGCAGCAAAATTAATTTTCAGAAATATGAAACCAACATATGCCCAGGAAAATCCAAAAAATTAAAAGTCTGTGTTGCTAAAAACATTTGTGGAAAGAGCTAAAAAGTGAGCTTAAGACACACACACAAATTTGAGCTGTAAAGATTTCTGTGGAGAGTTACAAAATTCCATGTAGTAAATACAGTACTGTTATTTTACTTTTTTCCTTCTCTATAATAATGTTAAATTGTACTGCATTGCCCCTTACAGTAATCTAAACTGAAGATTCTTATGACTGAAATACATTGCTGTATTTTTAAAATGGTGTTGGCAACTCTTGATCATACAGCTCTAATTATACACTGTGTGACAGACACACAATATCCACACACATTCACCTTTAAATATTGATCAATGTTGCTCATGAGGATGTCTATCTCTTCTTTGGACCACATCCCCTGCTTCCATTTATGACCTAAACAAATATAATTGGAAATGTTTTAGGTCAGGCCTAGGTCATTGAATTATATAATTATATATTATGTAAAAATAACTTTCAAAGTAGTATCCTTAGTATCCTTGTGTATGTTTGAATAAGGCTTCTTTATTCTCCATAGTAACCAGACACATCCAAATTTCAACTAAATTGAAAAACTGTAAATATGCATACATAAGTAACTAACTTATTTTCAAGATGTTCTACCTGAAATGTGACATCCAATTTAGTTTGTTTCCTGCAAATAACTGTACACTTTTGCAGATACAGTAAAACATTTTACATCTTTAATATTTCAAACAAGAAAACCATGACATTTTCAAGAAAAGTGGCATGAACACTAAAGAAAAAACATGACCTTCACTAACCATGCAGCTGTTTTTATTAAAAAAAAACAAAAAACAACAGTTGATACCAGAAATGTTTCTGCTAAAGATGACTTGGTCCACTACAGGGCAACTGAAATATCTGATTATATATTTAGTTCCACTTACAATATTCAGGAATCATTAACAGAAAAGTATAAGCAATTATCATATTAAATGCCTGGGTGAACTGCAGTCAAAAAGAAGATGACTATTGTACTGTGAATTTTAAAATTAGCAGCAAATATACAGTAGGTCTAGCAGTTGAAAAAAAATGCAAATACTGTATAAGTGATTAAAGGCTATTTGTCTGCTTTAAAAACATTTTGTTTAACGGTAAAATATATAAATCTAGAATATGATGTGCTAAGTAATGAAAGAAAGAATGATGTTTCTTGTGAAAAAATACAGCCTTCTGCATAAGAAATAAGTATTTTTAGAGAAAGGTCTCCAGGGTGGTACGCAGACAAATATATTCACTATTATCTGGGCTGTTACATTTTGTTCTACATTTTTTTTCCTGTATTTTTAAAACATTTGTTCAATCTAGGTTTAATGCTGTTTACCAAATGCAAAGGACTGTCTGGAATGTCACCCATTCTTCAATTCATAGTGGATGCATTTGTCCTTAATTTGTCACATTACAATAGAGCACAAATGTCTGTTTAAAAAAAATTATACCTTTATTCACAAGGGAATCCTTATCTTCTTTTGTAGTGAACCAAGCTTGGCTGACTGGAGACATATCGTCGTTCTTTTGAGGAGATAATGACCCATCATTCTGAAGAATCTGTACGTCAGAATTATGTAAACCAAGTGAAATGTTAATAATATAAAAATACCACAATCAACGTAATGTAATGAAATTAAAAAAACAGAATCATTACATGAACATCTCCTGTACTTTTTCCTGAACATTCAAACAGCTTCATCAGTACATAGATGGGACATACAGTACCACAGACAATGAGTGCCTCTTTTGAGCAAGAGTCTCCATTCTGACTAAGGTACAGTAGGGACAGCAGTTGGTTTGAAACTTTTTTTCAACCTGAATGACTGAAATCAGGAAACACATGTGGCTTCACAATCTTCATGAGTGTTCCACTTGAAGATACCATACCTTGGTTTCTAACACTTTTCTATTTGTAGCTTAATTATCTGTGAAAACGTACATTCTAAAACACTGGTCCAATCATTCCGCTACCCCCGATACACAACCATCGCATTATTATATTTCTCAGCAAAAAGTAAAAATCTGCTAGTTTCAAACAATGGACACTGCTTGAATGTTATAACACTTCTCGCTTTGTTTGATCATCTCACTGAGGTCATTAAGCTAGCCTTTATGAGGACAGGGTATAGTCAAACTAGGGTCAAGGCAGGATAAACAGAACTCGAACAGTAAACAGGGAGGAATCAGAACAGAACAAGGAAGAGAAAAGAGAATCCTCCTTCAATAGTCAAAGAGACCACAATCTGTCCATGTAATTTGATCTCTGAGAGTAGAGAGCTTTAAGGTTTAAGAAAGGGACATGTTGTCTTACATATGTTAAAATTAATGATTTTCTAGTTATGGAATCCCCGGATTAAAGACATACTTTATCTCCATTGATCAGTGGTACACTGTGTGTAATAAGGAAATATGTTTCCAATCATCTAGCACATCTTTCCTATTTTACCCTTTACATCATCTCACTCTGTTTTCCCTGATTACAAGAGGTGCAGGGTATAATCAATGTTAACATTGATAAATGTGCTTACACAGTTGGCTAGTGTCAAGAACAATGTTCGTATAAAATACTATACTATGTTATACCATAAAAATGCAACTGTAAAAATAATTTATCTATTCAATAGCAATTTCAATATTACAATATTAGTAATGAAGACAATCATGTGGATTTCAGCAAAAAGGATCTCACTATTCAGGTTTGTTATGAGAAATGCTAAAGAATTTCTGACAAATACATAAATGTAATTTTAAACTGATATAAGTTGTCCCGTGAAGGAGTTTGTCAATATAATAGTTATCACGTAAAAATGAGAAGGAGTTTTTGGATTTGTACCTGAATCTGTGCCACAGCCCCTTCACTGATGTCAGTCTCTGTCATTTCAGTGGTGGCTGTCATGGTCACCTCAAAACTCTCATCATTCTCTGAAACTTAAGATCATCAAAGGCTAATCAGCAGTTTTCAAAGAAATATCGATATCTTGTGCACTGAACAGAAAACCAGTGATCTACAGGAAACATCAGACACAAGGAAGCTGGAATACATAAACTAAAAACTCTCAAGAGGGCATTTGAATATTTAAACAAATATTATATTATAAAATATAAACCAATTCATGTATTTTAATATTTTATACGCTTGTAGCTATCCAAGATGCATTTGGATTCAGAATGTAAAAGTTTTTGCAAACTTAGTGTAACTGTAACTGAGATGAACCACAGTAAGAAAATCAATCCTAAAAAGTGTCTTACTGGGAAGTGTAACAACAGAAATCCGTGGTGTGGATGAAGGCAGATGCTGGTCATCTTCTGTGGACAAGCGTAGTCTCTTGTGGGAAGGTTCTAAGCTTTCATCTGCCCCTAAGTCTTCAGTATCTGTAAATGGAGTTGCAGATGAGACCAAACACAAAATAACATAAGAAAAGCAACAAATGACAGGAAGCATTCAGCTAAGTGATGAAAGGATCTTCTCCCACTATTTAATGAAGGAAGACAGAATATCAGCTTATGCCTGGATCAATAGCTTGTTCTACAATCTTGAAATGCTGTGTGTAAAAATTGCTTTCCAATTTCAGTTTTAAATGGATTTACTATAAATGTATACACTATATAATGTACATGTTCTATCAGATTAAGCTTCCATCAGGCAACACATTGCTTTCCTAATTTTCATAATAAAAGAACGACTGGCATCTGTTATCTGTACAGGCACAGTGTTCTCTCTTCAGGATCCCACCTGGATTTACCACTAATATGAGTAGTGTTGTAGATGTTTATACGTATACACAATTTGTAAAGCAAACTCATCTTTCATATAAAGAACAGGCCATCCAAGCGTTACATACGTATACGTGACAGAAATGTTTTAAACGTTTTTAAAGAGTGAAGACAGTGTTCCCAGTGCATTGAGAACTAATAATAATTAATTCTTTTGGAACACATAAGCTACTGTGTCACTGCAATGTCCTTTTGCAATTTTCTCAACAATCTATGCCAACATGAGTAATTGTAATTTGTTTTGCTCTAAAGTTTGACCATTTGGGTTTTACCATCTGTATTATTTTTTTCTCCCAGTGTTACCAGACAATCTGGCCCAGTTTACAGATTAACTCACCATTCTGTGGGCAGTGAAGTATGATGCTCCCATCAGTGTCCTGAGTTAATGTCACTGAGCTTACGGTTTCCAAAGTCACTGTGCCTGACTCATCCTCAATTGTGTTCATACTCAGCCTAAAATAAAACAAGGTTTATTTGATCTTTTCTATTATCAATTTATTTTCTGACTGTTCATTTAAGAAGCAATAGTGATTTTGATTAAATGGATAGAGCCCAGTATGTGATTCCCCTATCATCATCGCTTAATATCGCTTAATATCACTACAGTTAATACAGTCAGATATTTACTGTATCATGTAGAACTTACTTCTAAACTGACTTACTCTTTATCCGGGAAATAACAAAAAATGTAAATCATATTTATTGTGGCAAGTACACATTTAAGGCAATGATTTGTATTCACTGAACAAAAGTTACTTTTCAAAAATACAGCTACTCAAAAGTCAAGTCTACTGCATAGTGCTTTTTTTATTTACAATCATTAATTGCATGGTGTTTTTATAAAAGTGTTCTCCAGTTAACAAAACAAATGAATGAATTTTCCACTTAAACCTCAAATTGCAGCTTTAGAATGAAGAATATTGAGTTCACGATTCAAAATACCAACTTAAAAAGATACAAATACACAGTGATACCTGCTGTACTATACATCTTTACTTTCACACAAATAATTGCTTTCTGCAGTAGAGATGACATCTAATCTACAGTATCTAATTTATCTACTTTTTAGAGATCCGCTTTATCGACTGCAACACACTGCTCTCTAAATGTAATGCTGTATTCTAATAGACTAACTTTCAAACCACATAAGGTTACTGTTTTTAATGGATAAGCTATTGTACATGAACCCCTACATATGTCCAGTTAAACCAATTTAAAAATGCAAAAGTCATATATTGGATATTTCAGTCACATATTCAGATAAATAATGCTTGTTTCACACAACAGCTATATAATACTGAACAAGCAAGATGTCATACATATGCATAAGCTTACCCTAAAGTGTATAAAGTTGAATCACAGTCAGAATGCATAGGATCTCATTTCACAAAGCACACTTTTGTGTCTCATTCCTTTAGCAAGTTGAGAAAACATGTTCCTCAACACCTCAACACCCCAACACCTCAACACTTTAGCTTTTGTGATGTGATTCTTTAAACTGGAGACAACCCTGCTTACATTTAGGGTGTTTGCAGAAAGAACCTAATTCCAGCAACATTAGACGAAGAAGTGTATTTTTGGTTAGAACAAACTTAAAATTCTGTATCTCAAAGTTTAAGATTTGGCCTTGTCCCTGTTATTTCTTCCCACAGCCCCTGGGGTCTTTCATATTTTTATTATGATCTGCATTCTTCCTATATATTCTCCTGCATAAAGCAAGGTTTTACCAACTTTGAATATAACCAATAAAAACCATTTTATTCACTAATTGTATTTTTAAAAAAAAGTATTTAATGAGAGAGAAAAGACTCCCCTGCCACAGTATAGTAGATGGAGTGAAAGAGAACATATTTAGTCTTTTTTTATATACACTATACAAATGATAAAGACCATGGTGCTTTGCATGAAAGGTTAGTGGAGATATTTAAGATTCTTTATTGAAGGTTGGTGGAAATATTTAAACTTCTTTATTGTTTTGGAGTAGGGGAATGAAAGTGTATTGAGGAATAAATTAAGTTCTGTATATCAAAATAAAAAAAGTCCAATAACAAAACAGGGAAACTATAATGAATGAAACGAGTATGAATTAAAATTAGAATTAGATACACTTTCTTTAGTCTGTAGTTCTCCTTGAAGCCAAACTCGTAGTATTTCTTGCTGGCACTTTTGGAAACTAAGAATGTAAATCAAGTTAAATTTTGGAGAAGCAAAACATATGGAAATACACAGATTATTAAACCACGTCTGTTGCACAATAGTTTAAATTACAAGTTATATATTTTATTACGTTATTACAAAACGAATCAGACGGTCAAAAACAAATACAATAATCGTTTTTCTCCTACTGATCTGCAAATATTTCTAGCCTTCAACCTTTATCACGCTTTAGATCTGCAACTAGATCTGAAAATGATACAATAACCGAACTGAAGGTTATCCAGCATCTTCACGTGGATTTGAAGATTAACTACTAAATTACCTAAGCATGTTATAAACATATCTTGAACACTTCTAATAAAACATACACAAACAAAAAGCGTTTTCCGATTTGTAGTCGCCATGTTCAAAATTTCTACAAATGTAAGAGGAAAAATATCAGACGCCATATTCATCTTGAGGCTTTAGATACTGTTCTCTAGGTAAGAAGCGTCAGTAGTTATATTTCATATTTTGAACTGCATTTGCCAAGCTTTCAGTTTCCCCGGGGTTCACCGTTTCCACTGTGTGTCCCCATGGAGACGCTGAAATTTGGATTTGATTTTGTTACTTACTTCCTGTTTTGGGTCCGGGCACTTTGGAGAGACCAGGATGAAGAGTTTAAATACCAGGATGGAGGAATACAAGAGCCCTCTTTACCAGCCAGCGGAAATGACAAGACGCCATGGTTTAGTCACTTCCTCTTGAAGGGAATTGTTGTTAGTGGGTGTGCATGAAATTGTCCAGCAATAGTATCAAAGCTTTTTTTTATTTACAAAAATTGAAAACGATTTAAAAATCACGAGGAATATCCTGTTCACAATGCATCACTTCATGTTTCACTTTTCGTTTCGTTTTTTTTAAAGATCGTGCTTATTTCGTTTTGAGTTTTGTGAGGATGTGCTTTTGTCTCTGTGGCGCTCGAACTCTCATGGTCCGTATCTGTTTTTGATTAACAGCCTCGGTGTGTGTCAAGACGATATTCTCTATCTCCTGACTCCTTTTGGAGCATCTGTAGTGGTAGTGGGGCTCCTTCCCCAGAATCTATGGTTGAGATCGGAAAGGTCAGAAGTGAGAATGACTCCCCCTCAGGATAGGAGATGGTCTATTGCAGTGATTACTCACCAGATACGCACCTGGGTACAACAGCAGCATCTGCAGTGGGATGTTGTACCCTCAATTTGTCAATTTTGAGTCCAAAGGCTTATTCAATATACTATTCCATCCCCTTATATGTAAGTGATATAATTGAATTTCTACACATACAGTATGGATTATGTTTTGGATTTAGTTTACGTTAAGGGATGGCATGGTGGCACAGTGGTTAGCATTGCTGCCTTGTAGTGTTGGGGTCCTGGCTTCAATTCCAGACCTGGGGAGCTATATGTGTGGAGCTTGTATGTTCTCCCAGTGTTTGTGTGGGTTTCTTTGGTCTTGGGATACTGGGCCTGGTGTGAGTGTGTGGGTTTATGTCAGTGTGTTCCCTGTGGTGGAGTGGTATTCCATCCATGGTGTATCCTGCCTTGTGCCTGTTTCTTGCCAGGACAGCCTTCAGCTTCTTAACACAGCCCTGAAATGGATAAAGCATTTAGAAAATGAATGGTTTGATGGAATTAGTTTATAACCATTGAACATCTGTGATTAGCTTTGTTTCATGAATGTATTTAGTTTCTTTTTTTTGATCTTACTGGAAAAAAAATCAAACTAGCCTTAATTTTCAGTTAGAGCATAAGAAAGCTTTGATTACCATGAGCTACTGTTTACATTTCTCAGTAGAAAGCATCAAATGTCCAAGGTTGTGAATAAAACCTGATTAACATGTTAATCTAGTTTAGCAGTAATTCGCTGTAGATCAGGAATGTGACCCCTCCCCCTGTCAGATTGCTTTCTCAAACAAAGCTACCGTACCTGCCTTGTACAATATGTACAGTCTGTAGGAATACTGGATTAAATAAATAGAAACTCATAGTCACATAATATGGAAATTTGCTATGTATCAATATAGATTCAGGACCCAGAAAACCTCACTCCATATAGAACTACTGTGTGATAAAAACGGGATGTTTATACAAATGTGAGGATTTTGACATTCATTTCAAAAACTGTTGTGAAATGACAGTGTGGTTCGGCAGCTGCTGATTGTCTGACTGAAAGGCATTACTGGGGGTGATCAGGTTTACAATTTATTGTCTCAGGACGGCTGGGAGTATTGCTAAGGATAACAATCATCCTTGTTTCTCACTTTTCTCTCCCCTGCTCTCTGATAAGCACATGAAGGCATGTATCTCCAGATATAGAAACAGCTTCTTCCCACAAGCTGTCAGAGTATTGAAATCTATCTCTACTACTGACTCACACTGATGATTTTTTTTTTTGCACAGTGCTTGTGCTGTCTTCTATTTAAATTGTATGTTATATAAATTTGTTGTTGCTGCTGTTCTGTGTTTAGGTTTGTTTTTTTTCCTTGATGTCTTTGTATTGAAGCATACATGCAAATAATCATTTTTGACACCTGAAGAAGGCTCCACGGCCGAAAGGTATTTTTTCTCTCTTTTTTTCAGCATGGAATAAACCTATTACTTGTTCCTTTGCAGCCTATGCATGTTGACGCAGCTACCCACCTGATTTTATTGCACTTGTGCATATGACAAATTAACTGAACTGAACTATTAGTTTTGAAATTAAATCCCCACACAGGTTAGTGACAAACTGTTAAAGGGTCTTTAATCTCAAAACAAGCTACAGGGCAATTATTTATGTTTACTAGAATCCAAAACCAGAAGCTCAGCTGCGCATTTAGAAAATAAGATCAGGTCTCCATGTGAACCACCAACCATTGTAGTGTAAATTAGAGAAGCAAGAATAAAGGTGCTCTCCACCCCACACAGTCAATTGTTAAATGTAATTAGCAATTTGCACATCATCCTTACAGAGCACTGTACAGTATATTTCTTCTTTTTGAGCACACGGTCATCTGTTCAACGAAGGAAGTATTTCCTGGAAGGCTCTCCATGCAGAAGAAAAAAATCACAATCACACAGTGGAATGTGTTTCCCTTTGAAATAATTTCATTTGTATTGGTTTTTAACTTCAAGGCAAGAAAATAGTATGTTAGAGAATTTCGGTTCCCCCTTGAGGTGCTTGGCAATAACAAATACATTAATAAAATATATATCTCAGAGATGTTAGGTTTAATTGCAGTTGACGTCTGGATTATAACGTACATATAAACCTACAGTACCTGAAAGTCATATTTTGCCAAGCAACATGTACTTCAAAAGTACTGAATTGATATTTATGCTTATTGTATCTTAGTGAGAAAGAAACAGCAAAAAAAATAATGAAAGAAAACCAGAGGTTTTAGAGATTAATTTTAAAGGCGAATGTAGAGTTCAGAATTTTCAATCAATCCATTTGTTTTCTAAGAGCTTTATTGAATACGGTGCCATGGAGGAGCCAGAACCTGTCCCAGGAAGTAACAGATACAGCCCGGATGGGACGCCAGTCCATCACAGGGCGCACACAGACACAAACACACACCTCACCCATGGACAGTATCCCAGGATTCAATTAACCTTCCAGTATGTCTTTGGGCTGTGGGAGGAAACCAGAGCCCGCATGAACACAGGGAGAAAGCTCTAAGCAGATAGCAACCCAGGTCTAGAACTGAGCCCCGATGATGAAACACAGTCACAGCCCCATAGAACCACCCAGAATTTTCATCCAAAATATATAATTCATTTCAAATATCATTTTAAAAAATAGATTCCTTCTTTCTTTTATAAGTATCCATTGAAAGTCCTGACAGAGTTCAAACATAGAGATGTGTTAACATCACTCCCTAAGATTCTTACAATGTTGTTATCAGTTTTAATAGGGTGGAGCCCAAATCCAAACACAGATTCAAGCTGATCAAACAACTACTCAACTTTTGCTTTCTATACACAGCTTACTTTATGTTAAAATACAAAGTGTGGGCAACATCTACAGTCATCTAGAGTGGTAACAAGTTATTTAATCACAATGTTCTTAGGGTTTCGTAAAGAAAAATGTTTCATTTGAGGTGTTTTACTTGTTGAACTATGATAAAAATAGAAGGCCTGGATTTATTAGAGCAGTATGTTGTTTCGGAATTTAGAAGAATAAACACAGACTGTGTCACCAAAAAAATAAATTTATGTTAAAGTTCTTCAACACTACAGGAAATATTTAGTTTGACATATTTGATAAAGAAATCAAATTGCCATGATTATTTCCCTTATCATTTGAAACAAAGTGATTTGCTGTTTTGTATGTCAACATGAAGGGACATTTCCAGAAATAATCAATAACAAAAGTCTCAAATAAATTTAATGTTAAAAGCCCTTGTTTCTAGGAGTTGACATATGCTAACCATGCCATTTGGATTTAAAAGCATTTGGTTTAATTCTTATCATATGGATACATTTAATTCAGAGCTAGTTATAGTGATTAAAATGGTGCTTAACTGTTTTAGATGTACATACAACATACACTATGTAACTAGAAACAGCTGTGTTAATTCCCTTTGATTCAAAAAAGAAAGCCGTGCTATGTGATTTTGATGCAAATAAGTAAGTATAAGAGCATACATTTTCCTAAATCATCTCTGTAGAGAATTGGTTTGAATGTTTGAATGTCAGGGAATAAACCTTTCTCGATCATTCCACGTGTAGTGTTATCACTATTAAAGAAAAAACCTTGCTATTCCAACCGTCTATACAGCTTCTTTCAGTTCTTACATTTTTCTAGCTATCATTAAGGAATCCTTAAAATATGTTAGCTTTTTTAATAGTTGGATCACATTCAGGTTATTGAATGTATAAAATGTTTCATTGCAGACAACATCGCTGTATGCTGTACTGTTTGAGCACTGATTGTAAGAATATTTTTTTATGAGGGCATATGTCTATGTGTGCACTACGATGATATGGCTTCCTGTCTGGGAGTTTCCAGCCTTGTACCCATTGTTTTCTAGGATAGGTTTCGGCTCTCCTGCTCTTTGTACTGGCAATGTTTTTAGTTGTTTTTGCTTCTTATACTGATGCTCTCTTTAGCCTATAGTTGTATTAACTAATGCTGTTGGCCAGAAATTGATGTCATCAGATGGAACCCAGTTTTTATCAGGTGTTTCAACCCTTATCCATAATGCTGTTCTGCTGGTGGATGAGCAGTGATAACCAGTCACTGCTCATCTCCTCCTGGCCTGCAGCTTATCTCTTCTCTTCTGCTTCAGAACCAGCATGAGAATATCTCCGCTATCTGTCCCAACCTTCAAACTGCTGCTAGGTCAAATGTAGCACAGGTGTGTTCATTGGTGTTGATGTAGAGCAAGATTGCCTGGTGTACTTTTGCTCAACCCATAGGTGTTCACCTTTTCATCAGCTGACTGTGAAATGCCCCTTGTGCTAATGTTTGCCAAATGTGACTTGCCCTGTCTTATAAATGATTTTACAGGTAGAAGTGATCATATGACTGGCATGGCTAATTTAAATATCTCTGGGTGTGTTTCCTTATGTCAGATATCACTACACATATACAAGGCTTTCTTGAAAAGCGTGCATTTTGATTTAGTAGAGAAAGATTTCTAATTTTCAGGTTCCGTGGAGTTGCGTTTACGTATACCAATAGCCAGTGATGTGAGTTATGACTCACGTGACTGATAAAAAAATTGTCTTCATTGATCTCAAAATATTTTCTTCTGGTTTGTTCATAAAAGAAGCATGAAACTTAGCTAACGATACCAGCAATAACTTTAATCCGCATTGCAGAGATCTGCTGGTGGCTACTTTGCAGTTTTAGCGGGAATATGAGAACATTTGCGACCAAGTTATGTTTGTAGTAGTTCAGGTGAGTAGCTACGTCAGCATGCGTAGGCTGCAAAGGAACAAGTAATAGGTTTATTCCACGCTGAAAAGAGACGAAAGAAAACACAACGTTTCGGCCGTGGAGCCTTCTTCAGGTGTGAGAAAGACAGGGCAGTAAGCAAAGGTAATTAAAGGTGATTAATTTTAATTAATATTAATTTAAGGTAATATTACTTTTTCCAAGTTATATGTGGTAAAGCCACATTCATTCATATAGAAAATTTCTAGTTCTGCTATTACACTTCAGAATAGTCTAAATATTTTCAATATAATTCTGATGTAGAGTGGCATGGTGATGTGGTGGTCAACATTGCTGCATTGCAGTGCTGAACCTGGGTTCAGTTCTGAATCTGGGGTGCTATCTGCAAGGAGTTAGCATGTTCTCCCCTTGTCTGTGTGGGTTTCCCCTGGGCACTCCCATAGTACATCGACATACTGACAGGTTAATTGGCTTCTGGGAAACGTAGCCCTGGTGTGAGTGTGCGTGTGTCTGTGTGTCCTGTGATGGACTGGCATGTACCCTGCTTTGCGTCTGTTGGTTACTGAGGTAGGCTCCGGCTCCCCTGTGACCCTGAATTGGAGGAAGTGGTCAGAAAACAGAATGATTATACATTTCTGCAGGAAAATCAATGTATTCCATTGTTTTAATGGTATGTACAGCACATGTCTAAGAGCAAAGCACAAAATCTCTGCCACACTAAACAAACCTATGCTTCATGAACATGAACATTTCTTTTCCAGTGTCCATTGTATTGACCCCCTTACATTTATATTGTATCCTCCCCCCACAAGAACCTTTGCAGTAGCTCCTTGGCTCATTCCATATAGTGAGGGGTTTCCAAAACCTTTCGACTCATGACCAGGATGCCATTTTCTCAGGAAACCCATGCGAACACATGGAGAACATAGAAACTTCACATAGATAGCGTCCCAGATCCGGAACTGAACTCAAGGCTGCAGCACTGAGAGGCAGCAATACAAACCACTGTATCACTGTGCCTCCCACTATGTGACATGTAACTCATATATGCAATAAGCTGTGTATAATTCATTGTTAATAAAACAAAAATAGAGCACAATGAGGGATTCTACAAAGGTTATGTAACAGGATATTCTCTGTAAGAAATTAATCCACACAAATCAGTACATCAAGAACTCCTACTGTGAACATGGTTTACAGCTATCACTTCAGTTTAGCTGAAGATCAAAGGCTATCAAGTAATTTATGTAGATTTGTACAGAATAATAAGCAGTTTGCCCACTGGCTTTCTCAAATAATCTAAAATTATGCACACACCGTGCAAACATAAATATTTGTTGATTTTGCCTTGGGTTGTTTTTTTCTTCTCTTATTTTGTTGATGTATGAGTAATGGCTCATCGGTTGTTTGGAAAGGTATTTGTTCTGAGTGCTCCCTCTGTCTTGGCAGCAGCAGTAAGATGGATACTGGCAATGATTTCAGTTGCTGAGAAAATGGTTAACCTGAGAAATCGCCAAGCCTCCATAACTTCACGTTGCACAGGGTACATCTAGCACTGGCACATCTAAGACAAGCACTCGTTAATTTAAACAAAAAGTATTTGCCACAGATTTAATGCTTTTGTCAAACTGTACTTGTATTTTTTCTACTTTGGGATACTTCATTCTGACAAGACAAGTTGAAATAACTGAGTGCCCTTACTTATGTGTGCAGCACCGTAGTTATCTTTTGGTATCCCCTGTATGACATTTAAGCCATCTGTCTGAACTTATTAATGCCATATGTCTATAAAAATTCCCTTAAACCGTAGAACTCACATACTTTTCACAGCAACCACTTGCTCATAAAATACACTAGAAATCTGAAAAGTGTTCCTGATATTTATGGATATACAGTAACCTCGTAGGATACATGTAAATGTATATCTACATGTTTATGTTTTTGTAAACGTTGAAATTTCTTGTAAAAGATAAAAAGTCTGATCATGGGTAACCATGTCAAATATCTTTCAGCTGTGCACATTCTTGTAAGTGCTCTTGTTAAATACATACTAAATAAAAATTTCCATGCATAATGTGGGGTGGCATGGAGTGTGGTATTTAATGATGTCTCCTGGGTCCTGGGTGTGATTCTGGACTGGAATCTTCTGTGTGAAATTTGTTTGTGAGTTTTTACAAGACACACTAGTTTCCTTTCCAGTTTCTTTTCCAAATGTCCAGGCGTATTGTCTAACACAATGCTATTGGTCTTTAAAAAATCTCTGGATCTCATCTTCAGATGAATTAATTACTAGTAACTAAGTGATCTAGATGGACCAAATGATTTTCTCTCATTTATAAACTATGTTCTTATATTGTCTAGGTTTATGTTTTCCTATCAAAATAAACTTTATTTTACAAAACAAAATATTTCACAGTAAGTACACACTAACAAATGATCAAACTCACTTCAAAAGGTGTCAAAAATTGTTTGTGCATGCATGCCCTGCTATGGGGTGTAATTCTATCTAAGGTATAGTATAGTCCTGCCTTGTACCTTATGGTTCTGGGATAAAATCTGGGTTGCAGTGACTCTTACAAAGAAAATGGAGCTTTCTGTTACTGGGTGAGGTTATAATCTGGAGTTATTTGGTTTATTTTTTATTAATTGCAGAAAACTGTAAGAAGCAACCCTTTTCTTGTGTTCTAAGTTGTCCAAGAAGCATGACACTGTCTTGTATTCTGAATTTATATTTTATGAACCACTAAAGACATACTGTCACTATTGAATAGATGTGAAGATGACAGTGTTTGTGTTAGATGTACAGTATGATAATTACCGACTAAGATGCTATATATTCTGCCAGACAGGAACAAGGATTTCTTTCCTTATTGAAGTAGTATAGTACTCCTATAGAGATGATCCTATATAGAGATACATTATATGGGAACACAATCTACTTTCTTTCTTCAAGGAAGAAAATGGGCATTCGTAAGAGAAATGAAGAAAATGTTATATGGAATTCTGTGACTCTCCATAATTTCCAGCTTCTCTTTCGTCACTGCATTCTTAAGTAAGCTGAAGGAAAGTCGAAAAACACCAAGTTTACTGAATGGCTTGGTAGGAATTAAATAAATCCTTAGAAATAAAAAAAACACACCATTAATCATTTCAGCTTGTTTTTTTCAGTCTAATGAAAGTCATTTTGGTGCAGTATATACTATTTATTAGAGTTATTGGGTGACTGATTTAGAGAAGAGCCCAATGCCAAAGTAAACCATTTAAACTTCACTGTGCTAAATCATTTCATTAAAAGGATCTATCCAAAGAATTAACTCGCTTTCTCTTAACTTTTTAACATCAACGTTTCTATTGGACTACGGTATTTTAGATATTTTAAGACGTGCTCATTTTAATGTGGCGCTTCTGTGTTAATCATTAGCAAAAGCATGCATATACTGCGAGCTGAACTTATTGCTAATCTTCGTAATGTTTAATGCTTTGTAGTATAATGTTCATACATGTGTACTCTATATTTGTATACCGGAAAATAAAAAAAGACACATTCAGTGATTAAATATTCAAATCTATAATTTTAACCATAAACCTAACACTTTTAAGTAGAAGAAAGTCCACTTTATATGTGTATGTGTGTGGATTGATGTATGCATTCGTTGTTTATTATATGCGGAATTAATTGGGAGTTGCGCTTCTCCTAGCCAAGCCCGATGACGTCACAATCGGTGTGTCTATCTAAAGCCGGTGGATGTAATTCCAAGCGGAGGAACAGGGCTGAGCTGAGCAGTGGGGTTGGAGGAAGGAAGGTGCGTGTAAAACAGTCAGCATTGTAATCTGAAATAGACTCATATAAACATACGTTCTTGATGCTCCTGTAGAAGGGCCTCAGTGGGTCATAAATGAAATGGAACTGAAGGGATATATGAAACGGCAGGTTTTTTTCTCAGCGTTTTATTTAACGCCTTGTTCCGTCCGGATTCCCTGCGCTCTCATCTGCACTCTGCTGCTCCATTGGGTAACTGTGGAAGCAAAGGACCTGCCTCAATGCACAGAGGTAAGCCTTTATAATACTGGGAATTGCTGCCTGTCAGCATTGTTTATTTTGATGCGTTAAATTGCTTCCAGTATTTTCTTTCTAAATTAAAAGCTTACTCGGTGATGGTACCTTGAGACCCATAGGCGGTGTAAAGCATTGTTATATTAGTAGGAGGTTAGACAAATACGAAAATGAAAATATTTTGTTACGTATATTTGAACGATTGATTTAATATTGCGATATAATTTATGGCCCGATTTTAAGGCTGTTACTCTTTCTGAATGGCAGACACAAAGACAAGACCAGTAACCAGTAACCGAATCCTAATATTCATTCCATAAAATATTTTTCTCACATAATTGAATGCAGTATTAAGACAACAGTAATTGCTGTAACAGAAATGTTTCTCTACATCAATTTGTTTCAAAACAGCGGGGGTGAAAAAGTTACATAGTAATTCTACGTAATGTGCATACTGATCGAGACAAGGCTTTGCCAGAACAGAGTGGCAGAGTATTTGCCACCCAGCATTCGGGTGTCAGGAATCCCGTAGGATTTTGTCCTTGGTGGTTTTTGCTATAAACCATGATGGGGATAAAAAGAAGATAGTCTTTTGTTTTGTTGATCTCGCTACTTGCTCCATATAATGTAATATTATGAGATTCGGGAAGATTGCTCAATGTACAGCTCTCATATTATAGTGGTGTGATCCTGTGGGTTTTTCATTTTTCGTTTATGAACACTTGAAAAGTTTGAATCATATCAGTCTTGAATCGAACATCTAGAGGAAAGGTAATACGCTTTCTGTGTGTTGTTTTTAAAAACTTGTTTTGTATTATACCAACGTTAAAATATGTGAATTGTATTTTAGAAAATGGCTTTTGAAATATATATACAAATAAAAGTTTTTACTGGATAAAGGATATCATATTAAAAACTCTACAATGACAAAAGAGAGACGCCTCCCGGATTTAGAAAATTCTCGGGTAATTCTGTTCCTTGAGGGTTGTTAGTGAATTTAACTGTATTCGTCAGCTGACGGTAACTGTCAAGTCGGCTGTCTACTGCCATTGTTCTCCTCCAGTAGAGTACTCCTTCTGGGTATGGTATTGGGAGCAGCCCCGGCCCATTGTAGGTGTTGCTATGGCACACAGAGACAAATCCATCCCTGTGGATTTTTAGTCCAAGCCTGTAGGAGCTCTGATGTAGGAGACTCCCTGCAATAAAGAGTAAATCTCTTTTATCATGTCCTCTGAACATGTTTGTTATCATAGGTACTTATTATAAAGTCCGTGTTGATGTATTTCTTCACACTGCTAAACAGGTACAATATGCATCTGGCCTAACAATTAATAACTGGAAATGAAGAACACCCGGCGTTGTTATATTTAATAGCACAAACCCAGAAACTATCAAAAATGAAATGCCAATCAGAATTGTCATTGGAGTTTTTGCTGAGGTTGACTTTAGAGCTGTTCATCACTTCTTCTGTAATTTTGTTTTTATGTTAGGTCGTTTTTTTTGTAAAGAAATATTGAATATTATTTTTTCAGGTCAAGTGGCAGAAATAAAATAAAGTTTGTCTTTAGTGCTTTGAAACATTTGTACCTGCAAACCAGACAAAGAAAGAAAATACACAGTTTTCTCTTTGTTAGGTGCCTTATGTCTTTTGAAGTCATTGTAAGTTTAATTTTCTTCTATTATCTGTTTTATCCTACGGTATAATAAATATGAATTTTTTATCAGATTGATTGTCATTGGAAGTCCTAATAAATGTATTGTCTATTGAGCACAGTTTTGTCTTTTGTATGCTTCTACTTAAAGATGGAACGGCTGGATTAATTGCTGAAACAATTGTCTTGCCATTGTCTCACATTGTTCAATTGATGTGAGGGATTAAACATGATAAAGCTGAAGTTTTCCACCAATGCATGGGGGAAACATGCAGCGAGCTTACAAAATGGTATTTCAGCCTTCTTGCTGGTTTTCTTTTATCGTTATTGGGAGATGGTGTGATCTGATAAGGGCAGTATTTGTACACAGATGTTCATGCACAAAAAAAAATCTTGAATTTCTTTGTGCAAACATTCACTCCTTTCTTCCCTGTTATTATTGTTTGTATTAAGGAAAGGCTTGTGCGTGGTGGGTAGGAAAGCAGAAAGGGCACACCTGTTTGTCAAGGGGCGGACTACCTTCTCTTTCATTCATAATGGCATGTAGAACAGTTATTTGTGATATGAGAAAGCTGTTTCATTGTACCTGATTCTTAAAGATAGTGCTGTTTACCCACTGTCTTGGTAAGCATTCTTGGATTGTTCAGAATATCCCAGAGCTACAAAACTGTAAAATGCTTTAGTCTGAGGGCTGATACAATTTGGAACTAAAAAAGTTGTTTTTTTAAGCACTGTATTCCAGCGCAAACATACTGTACCTACAGTTTCATTTTGATTCTGAATTTGGCTTTAACACATTTTAATGAATCCTGTTAAAAACTGTATTTTAAACCCACAACTACAGTATCTGTCCTTTGATATCCCCATTTAATGAAATTGCTGGCTTGTGATAAACTTTGATCCTAGCCACAATCTAAAGGGATCTAGAAGTTGCACATGTCTTCTGAATCATTCAATGGCAAGCTGTCCTCTTCATTTGCATTGTGGACCCATACTGGTAGCACTTGTGCCTCACAGGTGATTACTGTAAGAAAAAGTAATCTCTTGCCCATTTTCATGCCAATTGGAGAACTTGACCATTTTTCCATTTGTCCCACTCGGGAGACCCTATATGGAAAATGTAAGGAAATCAAGATTAAAAATAAAGTTTTCAGTCTCATGAATTCACTTTCTTTAATGTCTGTTTTACTCATTTATGCATTTATAGTGTTTGCATTGCTGTTTATGTGAAAGTTTAGGGTTATTCTATAGTTTTAAGCTCCCTGTTGTAAGGTTATTTACTCTGAAAACCATGTTTTCCAGCTGAAAAAGTGGGTGTTTCAATGGTTGTTGTGCTGTAGCTGACAGCTGTCTATTGTCATTGCCAAAAGAAGGAAGATCATTAGAAAGTTTGCCTGAATCAAACAGAAACAAATATTTATCTATGTTGGTAAATTGTATCTTGTATGTCACCTATTCATGGTGATAAACTACCATTATTTGGTTTATAGCACAACAATAATATACAATTACACTAAATAAGATTAACATACTGTACAATCACGACAAATTGTAAAAGTCCCTTGGTACTTTAGCTGCATGAGTAAAAGTTGAAACTAGAATTATACTTACCAAGTTTGGAGTTCAAATATTAATTATACAGCAGGAATTAGTGTTATTGGCCACAATATCAACCATCATAAAAGATGTGGTGGCCAATGAACTGTCTTGATTTATGTAGGTACCCCATCTTCACACATACTCATCCTAACAGTATGAGTGTTATACTGTAGGTATAACCTTTGGATTTAATTGGCCAATTAGCTTTTGTATCAGAGGAGCTTGTGTTTTGGAGCTGGTTTTATCAAACAACCTATTATAAGTATATAAAATATTGCTGCAAGCTATATTTTAACCTGCAAGCAGGTTAGGGGTAGTGAAACTTGCAATGGTAGTATAAAGGTTGCAAACAAAATGGTGGTCAGACGGCCATTGTGGTCAGTTTGTGTTTAATTGTCCAAACTGTCCTGAAATAAAGAGCAGTTTGCAAAAGAGTCTGCATTTTGCCTAGCAGTTGGTATGAACTGGAAATTGATCACTATAACAAGTGAGATGCAAATAAGAAACAGATTTGTTAATTAAATCTACCATGTTTTCATTCAGTTGGTGCAGTGGTTGCCAAGATGCAGCTTGAGGTGTAAGAACCAAATGGCAGCTTCATGTTCATCTTGATACTGTATTTGCTGGATTGACAGCATGCCAGGTATTTGCTAAACTATATTAGTGTTTGGAATTAATTATAGGAAGAGTAATTTATTGCCATATGTATGTGTACTGTACATTAGAATTCTTATTTGCTAAGGTCTTTTGACATGGTACGAAAGACAACACCACACAATGTAGAAAGTACAATACAAAAAAGTACACAATAAATTGTAACAACCAGAACAATTAATATATGGTAGTGAAACAAAAATGGTAGTCCAAGTCAAAGGTGTATAGTGCAGCAGTGCATCGAGTTCCGAGGCATTGCACAATTGTTTAAAGTAAGTTTTAAACTGCAGAAGGTTGTGTTGTGGCTCATTGAAAGCTGAACAAATAAATGGTGGTTTGGTGGCCATTTTAGTTTACTTAGAAACCCTTTTTAACTTGTAATTATACAAATAAAGTTTGGGTTTTAGCAGTTTGGTTGATAATGTTTCTCCAAGCTGTTACAATCCATTACAGATGTAAAAACATCATATACTAAAGTTTATATAGAAGCTTCTGGGAAAAACTGGCCATGGTGTGACTGTGTGCATGTTTGTGTTTGTGTCTGTGTGCCCTGTGAGAGAAGCATCCCGTCCAGTGTGGATCCCGCCTTGCGCCTGTTGCTTGACGCATTGGTTGGGATAAACCTATGTGGATGCTTGGATAGGCTCCAGTTTCCTAGTGATCCTATATTGGATCAGGTGGGCAGAATATGGATGGATGTATTTTACAAAGCTTTGATTGTTGAATCTGGCCATTTTAGATTTAATCTGCATAATCCGCTAACAAAGGTTGACTTAGAATGTGAATTTTCTTATAAATTTAAAGACTGTCCCAGTCCCAATATACTGTACCAGTGTATTATGAAGTTCCTAGATTACTTAATCTCTGTGCATCTTTTCTTTTTCAATTGCTAATGTGTTGAACAGTTTGAATTAATTTAATGTAAAAATGTGGACATGTAAACTAGAAGTTTCTTAAGTTCCCTCACTTATATTTTTTTCTTGATTTGAGAAAATAAGATACAGTAGATATTTCTGTGCACTGTTTACCTTTATGGTTTGTAATTCAACTCCCTAGTGATCCTTTGGATTTCTGAGTTACTACAAAGTCTGC